ATGCATCCTTGTCGACCACTAGACAGCTCCAGAATCCAAAGCATCGAACGGCTCTTGGATGTATTTGGGCTCCTACATTTAAGGCGCTCGGGAGACGAGGTGCATGAATTTAGCGCAGTTTTAGATATTCGAGACAAGAGGTTGAAGCCAGCCGCCTCTGCTGCGTGCCAAAGCTCGTTATGCTCAACAGGTGAGATACATGAAATGGACTGGACCTCACTAAAAGCACAGTAGATACAAACAGGAAGGAAAGGCGCACGGAAAACAGAAATCCGGACAATTTCGTGTTTTTCCGTGTTATACAAGGAAGGATGGAAATAAAAATGAAAACGTGTGTTCAGAGGCATGTCTTCGATAAAAATTGAGTTGTGCGTGTTTTTGGTGGTTGAAGGTGAGGTTTATCAAAATACCAAACGATTTTGCCCCGTAGTCATTTGATGCGGAGAAATCAGCGGATGGGATTTAGAGAGGACGCGGGAGAAGTGCAACCTACCGTCACTTTAAACCCAACTGCTGGCCTCAATTTGGCTCAACTGAGCTGAAAATTTCAGAAGACGTCTATGAAGGTGTGAGACGAACACTTGTAAATTTTGAAGGTATTCAACTCTATAGGCACTATAGAGCACTCTAGGCATTGGATTTTGAGGCACTCTATAGGTCCAAGTAAAATCCAGAAATTTAACTCATTTTTTTCGAGATTTTAAAAACTGCACTTATTCGCCTTGTCTTCCAAGCCCCTCATTTCGCAATTAGTTACTATAATTTCTGGCTTATCTGTCAAAACACGTATGTGCGTAGAGGTCCAGTCACACGATCAAATTGAGCCATCAAACTGAAGCTCTGATTGGTGGAAAAAGACCTAAGGTGACCATTCATGAGAAAATGTCAGATGAAATGAACAGAAATGTTCCAGTTGTGAACCGTAAAACATTGTTGATGGGAATGGGCCTGTTGCATGCAAGAGATACAGTCGCGCAAAGAGACTTTTAGGGGTTAAATGACACGAAAATTACGATGGTCTCATTAAAAAAGTCTGAAATACACTCCTTACTGCGCAATTTGCGTTGTTAGGAAGGCGCTTTTTCAAATTTCCCGCGTCTGGGGGCAGTTTTCTAATCACCGGAAACGAGCAAACGGCGGGCTCGGTGATTTCCGGAAGATGCCGAGTCGTTGTTGTTGTTATTTTTTCCTTCAGTTTGTTTACAAACCCAACGTGATCTCTTATAATGGTCCATGTACGCTTTATGTGGTAACGAAATTGATCAACTCTTAAATATCCAACGAAATCTCTACATTTCATTTCACGATATCACGAGCTCCGATTTTTAGGTTATGTTGTCAGTTTTAGTTGACCGGAAATAGCCGCGAGTTGCCGTTAGAAAACTGCCCCCAGACGCGGGAAATTTGAAAAAGCGCGTTCCTAACAACGCAAATTGCGCAGTAAGGAGTGTATTTCAGACTTTTTTAATGTGACCATCGTAATTTTCGTGTAGTTTAACCTCTAAAAAGTCTATTCGCACGGCTGTGTCTCTTGCATGCAACAGGCTCATTGCAACCAGTAATTACCTAGACGTAGAAAAATTAATTTAATTTTAACAAGGATATGAAAAGACGCGGTTTCAAAAAGAACAAAAAGTAATGTCGCGTATTCTCTTCTGCCGTGCTAGGGAAGAACGCCGTAAGAGCCACCAGACGTTGCCAAGTTTCTTCCGAGAAAAACCGACTTTACTGGGAAAATTGTAAATATTATTTTCCAAAATTGTCAGACAGTTTTGTACGCTATTTAATCTAAATTATCTGAGACTTTTAAGGAAAAATACGCATGAATGTTGTCCAGAATACATGTTTTATCAAGGGAAATTTGTCAACTCTCGAGTGTTGATTCGGCGTTTTTCCTTAGCACGGCAGTGTTCCTGTTCGGTGCAATACCCTGAATAATGAGATTGTCTCGACGGACTTGAAGAGTTCGGAGCATCCTTTTTGAGGTTTTGCTCTTGAGATTGGATTCAACGGCTTGACCCTCAATTTCGTTTGCCTGAAAAAGGCGTTGGGATTATCGAAAGCATGCCTCCAATTCAGCCTCACGTAGCGATGAGGCTGGAGAAAGAGCGGGAAAATACTTAGCGGGCAGGATTCTTGAAATTCAAATCCGCGCTGTCGAAAATCCGCGAGCCGATGCGAAAACTTATGCCGAGAACCTTGACCTTCGTATGATAAATTATGTTACATAACCTTTGCAGGCAACGGAAGGGGGGGGGGAGTTGTTTTTGCCGACGCCAGCGACGTAGATGGCAAGTCGCGAAACTCCAATCTCGCGTAATGTTGCGTGCAAATTACGCACCGGCTCCGTGGCAAGATTATCGCTTAATTGCGGATTTTCTTCGCAATAAATCCATTTTCGATTTTTCGCCCGAATCAATACAAGATGTTTCCTTCAAATTGATAGTCGCTTTTTCCTCCAGATCGATTTTATCTTGGGATTGACCTGAGACATCGATTTTCGATATTTCCTCCAATCAATTTTCGATCATCTCCCCCAAAATTGATTTCATTTTAGGATTGGCCCAGAACATTGATTTTCTCAAAATCGATTCCTACTATTTATGAGGTCGACATGATAAAGTCTTCAATATGAAGTCGTTACCGGCAAGTTTGTCCAAACGAAAATTTGATTAAAGTTATCAGCATTTGATGGTGTAATGATTTCAATCGGTGCGTCAGTCATGCATAGTTCGAGAAAGCAATTGGGATTTTAAATCAACCTCAGAAAACCGAGTCAATTCTCCTGATTATTTAATATCGAAAAATCCATTTTTTGAGAAATCGAGTCGATTCTGCCATCATTACTGGCTTTTTTTTTTTTTTTTTTTTTTTTTTTTTTTTTTTTTTTTTTAATGCCAGGTTGTTGTCACGACAATGAAGAAACTGCATGTCGTGCAATACAAGAGGAGATTCAACTAAACCATTGACCTCTTTCCATTCTTTCCAGAAAATATTCACTTTTTTTCATAAAGTCAGAACATAAAGTCAGAAAAAAGTCCCTCAAGGTGAAAACTTGTCAGTGCACCAAAAATTAAAAGAAAAAAAAAAAGATTCGGGGTGACAGAAATTTTCAGTCGCCGAGTTGGCCGAGGTTCTCTGACTAGTATTCTCAAAAATATTGGATCAAATTTTAAGTCGTAATTTGCATTACAAATAATGTAATAGGCGGGGAATTCTCTCCAAAACGACTAAACTTTCCAATTCTCTAAGTCTCGGCCACCAAATTCCCGTGAAATGAGATACACCAGTTGCACTTGGAAAATTCTAGCAAGACGCGATGGTCCTCGAGAGAAATTAAAATGAAAATAAAAAGGTCAAAGAGCGATTTGCAGGCTGGTGAGAAAAAATTGTCCAAAATAATCTGGCAAGTAAGAAGTCGGGACTTCTGAGCACGGTATGTAATAAATTATTAATTGTTGAGCCGCGATGATCAATGATCAGATTAAGCCCCGCTGGATGCCCAATCTTCGTTCCACCGGGAACAGACTAGAATCAAGGGACGTCGCACAATGAATCGAGTCAATTAGAGAGGTCGGACATGAAATTTTTGACTAAAACTGTAAATTTTGATGTTTATTATTTGGTCAAATTTTAAATTTCAACGGGTGCTCCTCAATGTAAATTTCACGAGAAAACAAATGGAACCACCTTTAGGACCTCAAAGCTTTGTATCAACGGAGTTATAAGCGTTTAAAGTTTCCAAATTTTGTCCGACCTCACCTATTAACGAGATCCATTGTGCGTCGGTTCGTTTGAGTCGCGAGAGAAGACTCAGCACAAGAGGAAGATACCACCTCGAGACGAGAATACTTAATTCGGTCATTAAACAGCCAACTTTATGCGGCTGTTGTCCCGCGAGGTCCTGGACTTGGTGAATTTCATATCGTTGACGTAAGTACCATCACGGAGAAAAATAAGTTCTAATCAGTTATGGCTCGGCCCCAGCTGCTATTTTTCCTTTATTCGTCGCTTTCCTGACGTAACCGCGTAACTCGATTTCCTCATGAGCACCAGAAAGCATAGAGTTATACGGAGCATACTCCTGTGCTAAGGAAAAACACCGTATGAGCCGTCGGGCGTTGCCAAATTTCCCCTGGCAAATCACTAATTTTCAGGGAAATTTTTGAATATTTTTCTGCAAATTTCTCAGATAATGCTGTTTGTAATTTGATCTAGAAAGTCTGAAAATTTCAAGAAAAAATATTCATAACTTTCCTCAAAAATAAACATTTTATACAATGAATTTTGGCAACTCTCGAATGTTCATACGACGTTCTTCCTGAGTACGGCAGCACAGAACTTGCGTCATAACAAATCATAACAAATAATGATGTCATTGACTTTCGTTGAATTTTTCCGTCCCTCTTGTTGATCGTAGTTATTATTTTGCTAAAACCCTCTGAGGGTTCCAGAAGGTACCTGTCTGGCAATCTCGTAAATGTGCACGAGTGCTTCTAGGTTTCCTCGAGAGCAACTATCATGCCGGTATGAACACTCCAAAAGTCAGGAGCGAGATTATGGTAGATTCTTAAATTATAGGTGAGTCTACTAGTAATCGGCTGAATTCGACATGGCTACAAGACTGTCCATATGAGTCAAGTTGTTTGTCGTTTGAAAATTATTTACTCGACTACAGTAGAGTTTCTACATGGTGGCGATTCCCAAGAAGCAGTGTTTGATCAAATGCGATTTGATCGGAGAATGTATCGCGATTTGATTGACGTCGATTTATTGCAATAGGTATTATCGGATGAAAAATTGCGATAAATTTCGATTTCATCGCATACATTTGCAATACAGTCGTGATTTAGGTAACCGATGACGATTCATAAATCGTATAATCACATAAATCACTCAACGTCAACAATTTGATGGCCAAAAGATGGAGGTACATGCGCCTTGATTATTCCCAGTATCCATGTAGAAGTGAATATCTCGCTTCAAGAGTTTGAACTTACTGTGATTAAGGAATCCGCTGAGAGTGTACGCGATTATCAACAATCTCATCTTATCCACAAACTGTGTTCATAAACAAACTAGTTTTTTAAACGATAGCCATCATATAGCACGGAGGACGAGAACTTTTTTCTAAAGTTTACTTTTGAATTTCTCTAGAATCTCTCACAACCCGCAACTCCCCGATCTGACGAACTGTGCTGGGCGCATTTCATTTTTTCGTGACGGCGACGCGACGCGACGCGACGCGACGTCTGGAATGAAATAAGAGTTGTGCAACGCATTGCCTTCATCTAATCTCAGAATATTGCTGATACTGCGTTTGGTGAAAATGTCCGCATATTTTACTCAGCTTAGAAAATTTCTCATAGGTTCCTCACACATGAAATGAATGTAATTACAAACGTTTAATTTTTTGTGAACTTCCATGAGGAAATGGATTTCAGTTTTCGGAGTTGAAGTTTTCGGGAGAGCGATTTTCGTCAGCTTGGATTTTTTTTTTTTTTTTTTTTTTTTTTTTTTTTTTTTTTTTTTTTAACAAGTCTATTTTATACATTCAGATATACAATTACATAGATACAAGTCAGCTTGGATTGAAAATTCTATAAACGACCAAAAATGTTCTTAAGCCTCCTGATAAATACATTACAAGCAGTTCATTGAAGTTACCGTGTAAGATTTTAAAAAAAAAAAACTCTTTCTCAAAACCACGTTCTCTGAACGACAAGCTTCAAACCACCATATACTCCAGTTTGAAGGGAAGTATTTTTAGCGTTTTTTGTCTGGAATTATTTTAAAAACGCTCTCTATGCGAGAGGATAGGCAATTTAGTTAAGTGTTCTCGTAGACTGTGGTCTCATGTCCTGAACGATCATATATTATCGTAAAATAATTAAAAAGAAACAAATAATAGGTGGCTATAAGGTGAAATAATAATTCAGGCGCTCAAAAAGCCTTAATTTGCTGGGACCCTAACAAATCCATTTTAAACCGGATAAAATAAAAATGTTAAAGAAGAACTATAATTAAACCAACGTTTCACAATCCAGTAGAAACAGAGTAACCTGTAACTTTGGAGTAGCACCAAAGGCATTTATAGAGGTCCAGTCACAACTGACCTCCAGCACAGGCGGGTCTAGGGGGGTGTATAGGACGTGCTTCTCCCCCGTTCACCCGAAAAAAGGGGTAAGAAAAAGGAGCAGAGAAAGAAAAAAATAAATAAATGGAGAAGAAAAGAGGGAAGGACGCTGACATGTAGTACTTACTCATGAAAAAATTGACTAAAATTGCATATACGATGCTTTATAAGTTTGAAAATTTTCTGGGGAAGCCCAGGAAGCCCCCTGGACCCCCTTTACGCTCCACTCTCCTCGTTCAAGGTGTCTAGATCTGCCTGTAGCCTCCGGTGGTGAAGCTCAGAAACTCTTACAAACGTTACTCTGAGCTGCACCGAGTTAAGTGCCCCTGAAAAACGAATGGTAGGCCACACTTAAACCATCAACATCAGCACTGGAAAAACGTATGGTTCGAGGTCTAGAGAAACGAAAATGGTTTTCACCAAATACTTTTAACTCGAGCCGCATTCAGCGAACATCTAGTGGTTAATGCTACCAGATGTCTGGTTATCTTCACCCCACAGCATTACTATGCCAAAAAGCAAGTAGGCTCATGGATGGAACTGGGTCCATACCATTTTGCAGGGAAGCCAAGGCTAACATTTAAATTAGAGTCAACAATTTTGAGCACTCATGAGTAACAAACTTTAGAGACTCAAAACTTTTGGCTCCAATTGAAATGTTCAACTTTTCGGTCTTGAATTCTCCGAAAAATATACATAGTGTGGAACCAGCACTAATTCACCACCTTGTTAGATATACCATTCGGGATGCGTTTATGGTGTGCTTTTTCTTGTTCGCTAATCATGTAACTCACTTTACCGCCGGTGAAATTTTCCATAATTTTATTTTCAGCGTGCTTTGTGATAATCGTCGAAGGCCTTGTCTCCACGGGACGTTTTCATGGGATTTTTCCCAAGTTCGAATCGCAGGAATGAAACTTCTGGGATTTTTCCCAGTTACCGTCTCCACGGGACGGGGCTCTTTGCAGTCCTGCGACTAGTTTGCACGGGAAGATAAATTAGTTAAAGTCGAGTATTTGACCGGGATTAAAATAATAATTGCACTCAATTGACAGTTAGACACATTTTTTAACTAAACAAACATGAACAATGGAGTAGTGAATAAAATATCGCACAATTCGTTTTCACTTCTTCTTCTTCTCTCAGTGGGTCCTAGGGGTACAAGTACCATACTTGGTACTGGGAAAAATATTGATTAACTCAATATTTTTCCCAACTTCGTAAGTGGGATTTTTCCCTGGGACAAATCTCGCGAAACGGCTCGTGGAGACAAGGCCCTATTGCACGTTGTCATAGACTGCTGATAAAACTTCATCTCTCATGAGCAATGACTGATTGATCGGGCTTTTTGTTGCAGAGTTTGGCGCAATGGTCGGTGACTTTGGGAGTGGTAGCGATGGTGGCGACGGTGGCGCACTGCGCGTCGTTCGGGGCGGTGAGCCGGGAGCTCAACTACAACTCGATCCCGGGCGGGGACAACGAGGAGAGCAACATGGTTGAGCCGGCCCCGTTCGCCTCCCTCTCGGACTTCCTGAGCAGGAAGCAGGGCGCCAAGAAAACGGACGACGCCGCCCGGATGAAGGCCCTGGTCAAAGCCCTCTACGCCCTCGACGCCCTCGACAAGAAGATGGCCCAGGAGAAGGACGACGCCACCCTCGAGGAGATCGACGCCCAGATCGTCGGAGACGCCGGCGACGCCGTAGACGCTGGAAACGTCGAAGAAGACGAGCTGAAGGAGGAGTCGACGAGCGTGGGCACGACACCCAGCGCCGCCTCCACGACGACGGCCGCCTCCACAACCGTGGCCGCCTCCACGACGACCGCCGCCCCCGCCAGCGCCGAGCCCACCACGGAAGCACCCACCGAGGCGCCCACCGCCGCCCCTCAAACCACCCCCGCGCCCACTCTTGTTCATGACTCGGAGGTCAACGAGTTCGTCGACGAGATCGCCAAGCACATCTCCACTTTCTTCCAGGTAGATTCATTCTCTCTTTCTACACGCGGTGTCCCTGGATTAAACCGTCGTCCAGATCAAAGGCGAGGCGTCAATAATCCATGATCCATATTTGGACGGATTTCTATCGAACAGAGCTATGCGCAGCTGAGAAATGGACCGAGTTCATCGGAAAAGAACCCACCCACATTTTCGGAAAAATTGAGTTCAGAGTGTTTTTGAGTTCCACTAGCCGAATATTTTCTCCTACAAAAAACTCACAGTCGAAAATAAGAAATTAGTTTGTGAGAAGATGGCTTCAAGTTTATTTTCTACAGTGAGCTTTATACAAGAATAAAACTTCAAACCTCTTTTTCTCAGTTTCAACTTAGTGTGGGTTGCTTCCTTTCTGATCAACTCGGTCCAATTATGGAGTTTGCTCTAAAAAGCTGGATAAGAAACAATGTGGTCAGTGGGCGTGATTCCTTTTGAAGAATAAGTAAAGCGGGATTTTAAATCCAGCAAAGAGAACTATGTGCCAACTGAATACGGAATTCATGAGCCTTGGGCATGGCACGAGAGCGTTGTGGACAGAGCTCATGAGTTAATGACCACTACGAGGAGCTGCACGACGGCATCCATCTCCGTTGACGTCACTGGCGCTTTATAATTCTCATTCACTCTTACGGCCAGAGAACTGACGAGCACACCCCATATTTCTCACCTGCTCATAAATATATTTGATAGAAATACGTCCATTTCTCCCTTTGGAACAATGGCAAGCAATGGCAAACAATGGCAGATCAATATATGTATCGCAAAGCATGTCACGCCACTGATGCAGACTGTAATAGCGTGTTTTATGGATCGAAGTAACACTTAATTCCTCTCTAAAATTATATTGTTCCAAAACAGCTTCTAATCGGAGCCTCTGCCATTTTCAAGCTTTTGGGTTTTTACGAGAAAATTTCAACTGAAGAAGTTTTAAAGATTGCTCAATGAAAGGGAAAGTGAAGAATTTCAAAATGGAAACATGATTATTTGGTTCCTCTTCATTTTCTCCCTGTTTCTCTTCTCCGACTCCTTCTCCCTCTCTTCCCCTCTCTCCCCTCTCTCTCTGTCTCCGCCTCCTACCCCTCTTCATCTTCCCCTCCACCTCATTTGCCTAGCTCTTTATCTTTAGACAGGATTGAAAAATTAGTCACCCAATATGCGAATACAGCATTTCATTCTGCCGTGCTAAGGAAGAACGCCGTATGAACTTTCGAGAGTTGTCGAATTTCTCCAAATTAAACATGTATTTTTGAGGAAAGTCATGGATATTTTTCCTTGAAATTTTCAGGTATTTTAGATTGAATATCGAACAAAATTGTCTGAACAACTGGAGAAAAAATATTCAGAATTTCCCGAGTAGATTCGTTTTTTATTGAAGGAAGTATGGCAACGTCTGAATGTTCATACGCCGTTGTTATCTAGCGCGGCAGCATTAGGTATATCTGCCTTAGTGACGCCGCACAGTGGATCTAGTCAATTAGAGAGGTTGGACATAAAATTTTTAACTAAAACTGCTAATTTTGATGTTTACTTCGTCACAGTTTAAATTTTAAGGGGTGTTCCTGAAAGAAAATCTCACGAGGAGACCAATAGTACCACTTTTAAGATCTCAAACTTTTGTACGAACGGAGTTATAAGCTTTGAAAGTTTCCAGATTTTGTGTGACCTCTCGAATTGACTGGATCCATTGTGCGGCGTGTCACTATTTTTCATAGGACGACTTTGACTCTAATGGTGATATTATTGCCGGCAGGGAATCCTTCACTACTTCGACGGGCCAGGCGGAGCGGCCAACGCGACGGTGGTCATCGAGCTGGAGGAGAAGTCCGAGGACGGGAGCGCCGAGAGCAGCGAGAGCGACAGCGACAGCGACAGCAAGGAAGAGGTCTCCACGGAGGAGGTGCCCAAGTGGCTCGTCCAGATGTTCGAGTCCGTCGCCGCCCTCCCCCACGGCGACGAAGACAGGAGCAAGGAGTTCCGCCCCAAGGAGTCCCTCGAGTCCGAGGAACGATAAGAGCCCCCTAGTTCCTCCGAAGGGTCCACGGACCAGGGCCCCTTGGTATCACGATTAGAAGGACGAGAGGACGAACGAGACTTACATTGCAAATGGGACAGTTCCCCCTGCGCCTGAGATGTACAAGGAAAACACTAGTCCAGGCTCCTATAGAATTTCACGCATTTAAATCAAAAGGACTATGTCCATTCTGACATGAACCTTGAGATCCATATGAATGCATACATAACAGGATTCATGTCACAGTGGATATGGTTCCTTTTGATTCGAGTACGTCCAATTATCTCGCCTAAATTTTGAGCGGGTACCAGCTTCCGTACAATCATTTCAAATCTATTTTCTCGGCATCCTCCAAAAAGCATCGTGCGTCAAAGCAGGATTAAAATGCTGAATTCGTCCACTTGAAAATGTATTTTTACATTTTTCGAGGTCGAAATATTCGTGATATCAACCGAGCCCTGAAAATAGCCTGTGTGCTTTACCTACTTCAGACTGAAAAAAGAGAAGAAAAATCTTTTAGTGATAAGAAATGTCAGAGCGTGATAATTAAAGACAGTTTCGACCGGAATCATCGGTCATTTTATGTTGTGAATAAGTAAGCTTCACTTGAGAAGTTTCCTGCTCTAGAGGCGCGAAGGTCCTGGCTGTAATGTCTTTTGAGTGACAAGCTTTTCATGAAAGCAGATTTTCTTCGGAGATTTTAATCCGACGACGGATATCAAAAATATGATGAGAAGCTTAATGTGACGTTATTTTTTTCATGCATAATTTTTAAAAATAGTTAAATGACATTGGCTACGACTCACAAGCGTCCACAGGAAATTTTCCACACTAAACTAATACTTAAGGCTAAATTTGAACGAGTCGTGTCTTCCCTCCTGATTCATTATCGAGAAAAATGCTTCAGTGTCCTATTCTGCCGTGCTACGGGAAAATGCCGTATGAACCTTCACGCGTTGCCAAATTTTCTTCGATAAAACACGAATTCCCCAGTAAACTTATGAGTATTTTTCTTTCAATTTTTCAGAGAATATTCTTCGTGTTCTGATCTAAAGTCCCTGAAAATTTCAAGGAAAAATATGCATAATTTTCCTAATGAATAAACATTTTATCAAAAGAAATTTGGCATCTCTCGAATGTTCATACGGCGTTCTTCCTTAGCACGACAGTATTTGCATTCGTATGTTTGCATAAAACTCACCCGAACGTAAAAAATCACAAAGCATCTTTTTAGACACGTACAGTTCGATAGGTATAGAATAGGTTCTTATCGTTTCAAAGTTTTGGTGTGATAAAGTCAATATTCAGAGTTATTTGACGGGCCCTTTTTAGGTAAGTTTCAAGTGGTCAAAACTTTGTGTTTGCTAAAAAGATTCCTATTTTTTTATTGTATTTCAATTGATAAAGTTAAAAATGTAATAAAAAATCTACAATAGGTATATAGTCACCGTGTGATGACAGAATTGAAGGAAAGATTTTGCTCTCTGATTACGTACAAAAGTTTTTAAGTCTCAGAAAATTGTGCAATGTTTGATTCAAATTACGAGCGTCTTATAATTTTGTCATACAACTCAAAATATTTAGATTTTGCAGGCTAAAATTACTCCAACTTTTACTGTTGGCACTTCTGCGAGCATTCGGCGCTTACGTATTTTTTATATATATTTCTGAATTTGAGTTTAATTTGCTCTCAATAATTTTATGGATACTTAATGATTAAGGTAAAAATTTGTCAGTGCAATATGTACATAAAATTCAATAAATATTTTGGAGGTTACCCTAAGAACCATGTCAAATTGTCTTTTTTTCATATAAATTTCCTCTATTGTCAAAATGCCGTTAAATGCCTACACACCAATAATTTGACGGAACTCGGAACTGCAATACCTAACACACACTCATCTTGATCAGTCCAGGGCTTGTAATATCAACTGAAAATGTATTAAAAGACGTTGCCCATTTCTTTGAAAATAGGCACATGTATCTTCCTTCTCTTCATAAAAGTTAAGGGATTATCTCAAACTGAAACATGCTTTAATAAATAGAGGCGTTAAAAATCTTTCAAAAATGTATCATAGAATTATCATCACCGACAAATGTATAAAATTTATTCGCTGATTGAAAAATCAAGCAGTTGGCGAACATTGGAAGTATATAATTTCGTTACGAATCTGGTTTTGGTCATCTTGAAGCGATGATATCGACCAGTGAAATTTTACAATGTTCTTGTACACTAAGAAATAAAAGAACATAATCAAAAATATTATACCAATTAGTATATATTGAAACAGATCGTGGTAACTGATACTTCCTATACCACTGACTGTGACCAAGTTGGTCTTGTTTTGTGGAGATGGGAAATCACTCATTGTAGTCACCGTTTGTGGTCTAAGTAAGCCATTATTAAAGTTCATCCGAAGAGAAAAATTGCACGGAATTACTTCATTCGAAAAAATTCATCGTCGAACAAAAAATGTCACTGAAGTAGATAAGATCTACCGTATTGTACCAGCTCGTCACGTACTAAAAATTGGTATAAGTAGGTCAAAACAAACATATCACTTATTTAACTTTTATTGCCGGGAGGTGAGAATGGGACCTCAGTGGGAATTAGGAGCAAACTCATTTGTGAATGGTCAATAAGATTGGTAACCAGATTTATCAAAATCTTGACAAAATACGTAATAATTACAATGAAAGCATGAAACATTCATCATCGTAGAAAATTGATGTAATGTATTCACGAATTAAAAAATTATATAGTTTGTGAACGTTCGACGTCTATAATTCCGTTACGAAGCTGGTTTTGGCTGTCTTTGAGAGAGAACAATAACCTGCGGTTTTCTATCATGTGTTTGCATAGACAGAGACAGAAAACAATGACCATTATTGACCCGATGATTGTACGTGATTGTTGAGGTACATTGAAGTCATTGTAAGGTTAGTTTCGTTTGAAGATTGAATATCATCCATCATTAAAAATGTCATCGGAGTTCATTAAATATTCAAATTCGCGTAGATTTGCTTCATCTGAAAAATGTCCATCACGGTAAAAATACCCCTCTTCAGATAATATCGCGTGTAATATCGTTAGATAGTAAACAAGGGATCTGTAAGTCACTTTCAACGTCTTACTTCATTGCACTATTATTGCTTGGAAGGGAAAAAATGCCTCAAGCTGGAACCGAGTGCAGACTCATTGATAAAGAACCATTTGGAGTGGGGGTCAGATGTATCAAAATCTTGATAAAATAATCACAATGGGATGCCGTGACCACCATTTTGTCCAGAATTGACTTCGGGAAGTCGTTAGTGAACAATCTCACTTGAATTTTCAGAAAACCGTTAGTTTGTGTGCGGGTTTTTATAGATTCCTGGATTTCCAAAAAATAACCGCACCGCATTCAAGGAGAAAGGTAAGATGCTGAGATTCACCCGTGTTTTGATTACTTCTGTCCCAATAAAATTCGTCTTGTATTAATTACCTTCTTTACTTTAATTTTTAGAATTTTAGATACCTATTCATGAGTGTCGGTATGAAGGCAAGTGTCAATAGTGCTTGGAATTTTTTAAATGTACCTAATTTTCGGAGTTAATGAAAATGATGAAGCAGTGCGGAGTTTGACATGATTCTTAGCAATGAATTTGCCTTGAATCAGTTAATTCTCTCACTTATCCTCATATACTCTTTAATTTTTTAGGTAAATAATACAGATCTGTTGAATTTTTACCAAAAAAATGGACGCAGCAGAGACAGAAAAAGTATTACGGAGTGTAGAAGTTGATCCAACTACATCTCACTGCTTACAGAAATTAGCTCTGAATGGATTGGAAAAACATACAAACATTTGAAGAATATTTTATGAATGATTTCAAATTTTATTGTTTTCTCTGCAGCAAACAATACGGAATCAATACTTTCAAACATCGAGATATGTATAAATATTCAACTCCTTGGCGTAATTGTAATTGCACACTAGAATTTATTCATCCAATATTATTGATTTTTTTTTGTTATATTGTCGATGTATTAATTTATTCATTTATTATCAAAACGGCCTCAAGCTCTGGGTGTGTTTATAATTATCAAAATCGGATTTACCATTGCCATTAAAATAGAATGTAGAATAGTTCGCATTCTGTGGATTTGCCTTCTTCGCCAAATTTTCAGTCCCGTTTCTAGACTAAGTAAATATTCCAACTAGAGTACCTAATTCCAACCTCATCTTTCTGCATTCTGTATTCTAGTACATTTTTAAACATATTTTGATTACCTACAGCCCCTCAGGCAGTTTTAGTAATGTATTCATTGCCTCTCAAAAATAAATCTTATTGCAAATTTACGCTAGAAGACGTATTGCGCTCAATCATTCCAGGAGCGTCAATTTGAATTTCCCGCTTCAAATTTGAATATTTCCTTTTCGCGGGCGCGGGCTCCACTCTGATAGGTCACCCTAATGCTGATGCTTGATGAACTTCGTCGCTGGCGTGTGGACATAATTTTTTCCGCCATATTGTTTTTTTACGGAATTTGCATCAGCGTTGTTTCAAGTCTCCGGCAATCAGACTTTTAATTAGGTTTAGGAACTGTGATTGCGTTACAAATGTGTTGTTGAAATTAATTTAATGGTTACTCTTTAAGTTTCTACGCCCACCAAGTTTCATAGTGAGTATCCTTGTCAGAACGTAAGTACGATGCGAGAGTTGGATGCTGAAAGTTCACATGGGGGTAGGGGAGTGGGTTCTCTCTACTTACCAGATTTAATGTTTTGTGTTAACTTTTGCTGATTCTCGCATCGAAGTTTAATATTAGCACGGACGGATTAATCCTCCCTCGGCAAACTAATAGCTCCTCCCGCTAATTAGTCGTATTCTGTGTGGTTGCAAAAACCCATAACCTCTACCTCTGGTACTTGGTGGATAAGTAGCGAGTCCTTTAACACATTTATTTATGGTCATTTCCACAATCATGGCATGAGGAGATGAATGTAACAATCAAGTTGCTGCATGTGCTATGGCAATGTTTGATTTCATAGTTTTCAAGAATTGAAGCGAAACTGGTGATATCCAAACACGCCACCAATTCGGAACCACTGATTTCAGAAGCTCCTCAGATCATTCGAAAGCTCCATATTTAGAATTTAGAATGGTGGTTCCTCTCATTTTTTGGCAGTGAGTCTTCAGGATTATCTCCTCTGTGAGTTGCTTAATTGGCATGCTTGTCTGCCTGCTGCTGGATAAGCTTTTGGTCTTCACATTGAGATGAACCTATCCGTGACAGTTGAGATTCAATACAGCGGTTTACAGGGCTGAGGGCGATCTGTAGAAGGGTGGTCAAGCTAGGATAATTGATCTATATGCTATGATGATTAGTTACAAAATTTACTCTTATTGTTTAGTAGGCGAGGAGAAAGATACTTAGGTAAATCCCTCATGTTTCTTCATAGATGTCCATTTTCTAACTATTCAGTGTCTAGTATACTTATGGTTCTTAGCAATGCTATTGTCAGCAAAATAAGTTTGAACCAGAGTTTTTATCGAATGACACAAGCTTCGTTGAAGAATTTCTCAAAGAAATATCGGATTCGTCAACAAACAGTGAGAGATAGTTGGCTCCTACCAGAAAAATTTTCCAGCACTGGGCAACTAAATTGCTAACTGCCCTGTTAGAGTTGTGTTTACCTACCATATGCTCTAATGTGCTCTTTCCAGATCTGCGATCTTAAGAAATCCACCACATAGTTGCAGTCAATTTAAAGAAAAGAACAATTACCACAGTTCCGTTAATGCCAATTGGCTCTTTGTGACTAATTAGAACTTGACTAGTAGCATTTACTTTCTCTGTATTAGTACTGTTCTCTGAGGCATTGAAAGAAACGCCATTGAATTTTGAGTTTTTGAAAAGTCTAGTTAAATTATTTCATGCGAACAGCAGTCAACCTATTGCAGTAACTTTTTTGCCAGTGGAAACTGAAAAGTTTAGCCATGAAGGAGGTACCCCTCAATATTTTAAGTAATGGGTAATATCTGATTTTATTTTACAGTTAATTTTTAACCATGCGGAGGAAATCTGAAAGGAAGCCGAAAGAAACCAAAGCTAGCCCTGAGAAACCACGCCGATCTAACAGGAGCTCTAGACGGAGGAAGAAATCTTCATCTTCAGAGGCAGAATCTGATGTCGCGGAAGTAGAAAGCAGCGATGAAGAGGTCCCAGTAGCGAAAAAAGGGAGGTCTCGCCTTAGTAATACTGAATCTGAAAGTGAAAAACCCCAAGACAGTGGTAGACCGACCAGGCAGAGGCGAGGTCAAGCTGCAGTACAGGAAGATAAGACTGACTCATCTTTTGTAGAAGAAGAAGTAGTTGAGGAGACTGAACCTAAGACCCAAAAATCTGAGGTAAGTTCTGTACCGGTATTCTAACCTTGAACACAATGCAGATCAGGATTTACGAAATATTTTCTAGGATAGCCAAGGGAATTTTAATGTTCGGAATTATTGGCAAGGAAAAAAAATTGCCACAATAGATTGCTGCAAGCAACAGTCCTAGAGCCAAGGTAGTTACTGACTGGAAAATAAGAAATGAATTGGAAACAGTTTGGAAATTTGGAAGCGTTTTCAAAATAAATTTGTAAACAGACAAATGAATTACAGATCATTTTACAGAAAAAAGCTTCTCATTTGGTCACTACATAACGTCATCATTCAAAAGAGACAAAATGCATGGTATGAATCTTATGTCTTTCAGATGTAAAAGGTTTTTTACTTATTTTATTCTAAGTGAAATTTTGATAAGGAAAACATATTAAAATGCTTTTTGCACCTCATCTAGTGATCCATCAGCAGCTGAAAAATCTATGATTATGTCGAATGGCATCAACTGAAATCACCCCAGCTGCATTTAAAGTTGTATGATTTTCTCTTGTGTTGTATGATCCAACAAAAACGCAGGTACTAAGCTATGAGATGCCCCGAAACACTGATAATTTATGGTAAATCAAGAAAGGTAAACTCTCAAAATTTTGAATCAGATCGTTCTCTAGTTTTGCTAAAAAATGTATATTATGAGAAAGAACTCGGCAGTGTAAAGCTGTCAAACTGTTTCAAGTTAAAATAGCTCTGTAATTAAAATCTAATCACAAATGTTTTTCCCTCGTGGTTACAAATTTTATCATAATAAGTAATATTCAATGAACGTGTCATTGATAAATTGGATGGCTTATTTAAGTGCATTCTTTTGTCGCAGGTTGAAACTTCCGAAGAGAAAATAGCTGCCTCTGTAGAATCTACGAATGGCACAGAACTCTCCAATGAAGTAGATCAGCCAGAAGGAAATCAGGGGAGGTCAGAATCTGTTGAATCCTCGCCATCACCAATCAGGAAGTAAGTTTTCATCAACAGATGAAGGTGGCACTGATGATATGTTGTAGCTAATTGATTGTTGTTCACTGAAACATCATTTCTGTGATCAAGTTTCACAAGTTTAGTTTTTTCTAGGGCCTTGTCCACACAAGCACGGTTTTGTTTGGCGAACTTGTTCCAGGAACTGATCATAACTAATTGTAAGCTATGACTTTTTCTGCGGAACTTCAGTTTGTGGAACTAATTTTTCCAAACTGCTTGGGTAGATGAGGTCTAGTTGCTTTTATTTCCTGTCAACAGGCATATTCTTAAAATTAACTTTTAAAATAAATTGTTGCAGTTGACAAGGACGAAGTCGACGAGTTTGTTTCCTTATGTCTATACAATGTGTGTAGAATTAGGGACACATCATTAAAAGAACTTGCTAAATTTTAAAGCACTCATCGAAACTTCAGTGTTGGATGGACAGGGAAGTAAAGTATCTATGTTTTTAACGCTGGTATTCACTACCAGGGTTTTTAGCAGTGTAGGGAACCTGGAAGAGAAATCAGGAAATTTTGCAAGCAGTGTTTAGTAGAAGTCAGCGTAATGAAAAAAAAACAAATCTAGGTGAAAGTTTTGTTCAAAGTTTAGGGAAAGTAGGGGCATTCAAATATGTTAGAGTCGGGGAAAAGCCAGAAAAGTGAAGGAATTGGATCATGAAGAAATAATGGAAACCGTAAATTTGATTCTGAGTATTGCATTGGTATCAAAAATATCAAATTTATTAACAGATCAGTGTAACAGATCAAGGTAAGTAGTGCGTGCTGTCTCGATTTGTTAGGCAAGGAACTGGAATCTGTGTGCCATGCCTCTTTTGAATTAAGTTAAACTCTAAATTCTTCTTTTTAACTTTTTTGTTTAAATTTCTATCTTCAGGAAAAGAAGGGACACCGTAGAAGATCAGAAACCATCAGCAGATGAGGAAATGAATGAGAACGGAAACGACTCCAGTATTAAGGACTCTAAAATTAGTGAGGCTGATGATGACGATGTAGTCCAAATAAATGCAGAGCCTGTAGAAGATTTGGAGGTATGTTTCTTAATGTTCTATCTTGGCCTCTTGAAACTTTTTTTCATTTCAGACAAGTTTTGATTAATGATTTGCTTGCGCAGGCTGTATTTGTTAATCTAATTTTGTTGACATAGAAGGCAACGTTTATCCTTAATGAACCTGTTGCGATAAAGATTGTTACAGCCTCTCTTGACCACTAGATAAGGTACGATTTTGGGAACTACATTCCATGTTTTCTAATTAAAATGTAACCTTGAATTTGATGGACTTAAACAACTTTCCAATTTCAACTCATAAGCTTGAAAATAAAGCATTTTGTGGACGTCTATTCAAACTTCCTAATCACTGAAAAGCTGGAATCTACTTGGGTCAAATCAAGCACTGAAGTAATTTTAGTATATTTTATGATGGAAGAATTATCTTGTGAACTGACTTTTTTTTGGACAAAATTAAAGATACCTTGGTATCAGAAAAGGAAGGAAATTTATGCGGAACCAATCTCTAATTATTTGCATAATGTATTGGTTGATTTTAATGTATAATTTGGCATTTATTGATTATGGTTTTATCATTAGTGGGAAGTTCAAATATACTGTTTATGATGTTAACTAGAAACATTTATTCCTCACTTACAAATTAATTTTGAAAGTTTCCGATTTTTCTAATATTTTCTACAAGATATTGTGATGAGAATGCATGAGTTGTAGTACTTAATTTTTGAGTGTTTTGAGTGGTCCATTCTCATCAGCAGTTTTCTAGGCTAATCAGCAAATGTCTTAATCTCCCTCCATACATTTTTCATTTCAGAGCACTCAGGATAAAATCTCCAATCTAGGTAGGAGTGAATCTCCAGAGCTTAACTATAGTCCGGATAGAACAGATGCTCGTAAATCTGGTGGTGTTGACAGTCAACGGGGAGATAATACCAGGTATCTATCAGAATACATATAAATTCACCCTCTGGTGATCTATCATCACTTTCTTACTCATACATGTGTGCCAAAACGCTTGCTGCTTCTACATTATGTTGATCTTCGAATGCCATCAATTAGAGATTTCCAAATCCGAAACGGAATTTAATTTTACCTTAGATTTAAATTTTTTTAAAATATCTCGAGAATTTAGTTCATGGAGATCTAAAGGCTAATTTGGCCGAGTTCAGAAGTCTGCGTTGTATAATTTGCCTAAACCTGTTTGCGTGGCGTTAGAATGAGTTTCATTTCGGAATTTTTTTTAAAGGCTTCAAAAATGGTGCGAACTCAGTTCTTACGAATTTTCTTTTCATTTAACCTCAATTCATGAAGGAAAATCAAGATATTTGGACAGCTTTAACCATAATGAATCTAACTACATCAGATGTCGCCTAATCTACTCCTTAGTTCTATTTTTTTTTAAAACAAGACAACAAAGCGACATTCTGACTTAAAGTTTTAGGTGTGCTAGCTTTATGAGTTGCAAAAAAATTCACCAAAAGTTTCAAGGCATATTGTTGCTACGATTTCTGTCAAGAAATAAAATACAATGAACAATTGGGCAACATGAACTGCAGTTGGGCTGATCGTCATTAAATATATTAATTCTATAGAATTTTGGAAGAGATGTTATCCAATGAAAATAATTCTGACCAACACAAATGAAACATGAAAAGCTCACGATTTTATGGAACTTTAATTTGGAAGGGAAATGAATACATTTGAAAAAAAAAGTATGGACATTGTAAATAGGTATTAGAATTTTGGTTCTTAAATCTGTAAGGACCGTGCTCATGGATATGTATGCACGAAAACAATTATTTTTGAAAGGGAAGAAAAAGAGAGATTTGAAGAAAAAAATCAAGAAATTCCACAGGTATTGAGTTCCGACGTCTACGAATTTCCAGTAAATTTTATGATTTTCAAGAATCAATTAGGAATTTCATAAAATTTGGAAAGTAGACTCTTGCACTTAAAATTTCTTAACTGCAAGTCATGTAGAAAAGCTCCTTGTGTTAATACCAAAGGTAAATAGGAATTACAGTAAAACTTCGATATAACGAACGTCGATATAACGAATTCTTCGAATTAACGAATTTTTTCGCTGGTCCCCAGAAATTCGTTATATCGAAGTTTTACCGTATAATATTATTCCTTTTTTAAATTTTTCTCATTTTCATCCAAAATTTAATGTCTAATGTGCTCTGATTGTAATATTTTTCAGATGTGACAGTGACTCAGAGAACAGTGATGGCGAGTCGGGTGCAAGGAAGAGCATGCAGTCATCTGTGCGCCAAGTGGATACATCTCAGAAGCAGTAAGTGTATCTTGCCACTCTCTGAACAAACTCAAATTTTCCCCTCAAAAATGAAACAGGTTTTTTTTTTCTTTTTTTTCCTGTCTGTCTCCTGTTCGATTTTTTCTTGAAACCAAAAGATAACTAAATTATTTGATAGCAATATTTTCTGTTCCAGAATAAGATCACTAGGTTTGTGAACACTTATAAATGCAGTGAGACGTTGATTTATTGGATGAATGTGCAATGAATTCTTCAAGAGTTAAATGTAATCATTAAAGGTGGAAATCCAGAAATCAAATTTTTTGAAAAACTAAAAAAAATACTCCAAAGGGAAGCCCCATTACTCGACTAATGATTTTTTTGAACATTTTCAGAAATATTTTTCATGCAATTAGCAGTTGTCTTTTATTGTATGTAGATTAAGCTGCTGGTGATAGAAACCGGATGTGTATCTTTAGCCTGCTAAAACAGTGCTTGGTAACTACTAAAGTCTAATACAAGAATAAGTCAATAAATGGTTAATGTTTTTTTCCTTTTGTTCCAAGGAGGAGTAAGGATGACCCAAGCGCAGGAGTGGAAAAAGGAGTTGCAGCGCAGGAAGGGCACAAGGACGGATCCGGGAAACGGGAGGAGAAGGATGAGGATGACATCGTGGAGCTCAAGGATCTGACTCAAGATGATGATATTCAGGAAATAGTAAGTTTAGTTTTTAAGGTTTTGCTCCTTTTTTTTTTTTCGCACTTCAATGGTACAACTAGAGGACGATTCCCTAGTTGAATGGTGATGCGCTCACTTTTCGAAAACAATAGCTTGTCAAACATTCCTGGAAATCAGGTCTCTCGTAGTATCTTTTTGAAGCACTCTTTTAACCTTCACTCGTAGACATTTACATTTTTTTTTTTATTATTCATCCTAGAGAATAGGAAGAAAAAGAAGGGATTAAAAATAAATAGTTCCATTTTTGTGTAGAATGTAGTCATGAAACTTGAGCAAAGTATATCCTTGAAATAGCTTGTACTAAGAGATATTCTTTTCTGTTCTTTTTGTTTCAGGGAGAAGTGGTTTTGAAGACATCAGCAGGTAAAATGAAAATATTCTTTTTGTTTATTTTTTACGGTACATTATTAAAAGAATTTTTGAGGTTCAAATACCCCATCTAACACAGGGTGTTGTGGCACGTATTGAAAGATTTGGTGCTACGAAAAACAAAATTTGTATAAATATTTCATTAATCTTAGAAAATGTAAGATGAATTTCGCCCTGATGATTTTCAAAAACAGGGAGTTGTCTTTAATCCATTGACGACAGCTGTTTTGGATATTTACTCATCTTCAGGTCCTTGTCCTTGTTTTCCTCACGATATTTGGAATACATTTTGCAATCGGAACTACAATTTCCAACTTGGTGCAGAAACAATGTATGTACTATTAGTTTTCCTATATCCATAAGTGTCCTAATAGATGAGCTAGAAATTGTAGTTCCTAATTGCAAAATGAAGTCCATGACAGATGAGCCAGAAATAGTAGTCCCTAATGGTAAAATGAAGTCCATTTGGTGATAATGGCGTGTCACTGTCCATGTTTAACTACATCTCTTGAATTGTGTTTACAGCACCTTTACCTCGAGATCAGCGGAAGCGACGTTGGGGCACTTGTCGTGCGGCAAAAGTTGAAACTCCTGTCGTTATTTCATCTGATTACTTAAAGGTAAGATTGCTTAAAGATCTTGGGTGAACCCTCAGTAAGTCTAAATTCCAAGCTGATCCTCTCTGTTACATATTATTAATACCTCAAAAGATCTGACCTCCTCGTAAAATTTTGTGCGTGTTGAGAAAATTGATTCTGAAAATATTTATTTATGGCCACATACAAGGAAAGTTTCCTGGAAGATCAAATCAAGGCTCTGGCTCTACATTTCTCTGCTATGCTAAGGAAGAACACTATGATGTTGCCAAATTTCCTGTGATTAAATACGAATTTTTAGGGAAATCGGTGAATATTTCTGAGAATTTGTTTCGCAATCAGATCTCAATCATCTGAAAATGTCAAGAGAAAATATCCATACCTCTCCTTAAAAATCAACTTTTTATCGGAGGAAATTTTGCAACTCTTGAAGGTTCATTCCGCATTTTTCCTTAGCACAGAGTTGCGGGCGGTCTGGAAAACCAGGAAAATCAGAGAATTCGCGATGACCAAGAAAAGTCAGGAAATTCGTGATGACTAAAAAAAGTCAGGGAATTCGTGGGAACAGTTAGATAATTTCTGACATATCTACCTATCAAAGTCCAGCAAAAGTTGGCGTACTATGTTATAAAAAAATATTCGGAAATTTCGTTCGAAGGTCAGGGAATTAGGCAATGTCGGAATCGGGGGAAGGCAAAAAAAGTCAAGGAATTTAAAGATGAAGAAATTATGGCAACGCTGTTAACATGGCAGCACTAAAAGGAGGGTCTCTCCAACATTTCACAGAAAAAATTCTCAGAAATGTTGATCCAAATTACAGGTATGATGGTCTGAATTTTGCAGTTTCTAAAATGTAGATTTGAGTTATTGTGATCATGAATTTCATTTTTCATGTTCAAGGCTCACAATTTGTCTTATTTAACTCAACAGAAATTACATGTTGACAGCATAAGTTTGCAAGCTCGTACCTCGTCTGCGGTGTTTGAAAATCTCCGCCCCAATAATTTTTTTAAAAGAGAACAAATTGACACCATTCCTTGAAGTTTTTGCATAATTTTCTTCGCTCCGAGAAGAAAAATCACTGCAGTTCTTAAGAATTGCCGTTGAGTAGTTTTTGGTTTGAAAAATAAAGTATGACAGAAAGTTTGCGATGTCGCAAACCGTTATGTGTGGCTGTGGATTTACATTGTCTATGTGACAAATTTGCCATCAGGAACTGAGATTCCTTTCTTCAAGGATGGTCTCTTGTTTTTTTTATTTTTTTTTTTTTTATTATGACCAACGTTCTTTTGCTTCCAGACGATCATTCCAGATGTTAAACCAATAGCAGAAGACGAACTAAACTTCTCCGATGAAAAATTAACGGGAGATGAGGAGGAAGAAGGTGAGATCAAGACTCCAAGAGAGGCGTCCGATGACGAACTCATTTGTGATCAAACGGTTATCTTGGACGAAGAGAAACCAACGGATAAGAAGGACAAAGATAAAACTGAAAGAAAAAAGAGTGAGAAGCATGACAAGGATGCAAAATCAAGTGATAAGAAGAGAGACTCAAAGGAATTGTCCAAAGCATCGCCTGCTGAAGTCAACAATAAAGGTTGGTGCCTCATTTATACTTGAAGATTTGCAACAATACTTTTTTAAAGAGTACCCAAATGTGATGCGTTTTTGTTTTTCAGGTTAACTTGACTTCTGTTAAAATTATCTTACAGATTTTTACTGAAGATCTCACCTGATTCTTTCTCATTTTTCAGGAAAACAAGTTGTGCGGAAGATATCAATCGTGTCGGAAGAAGCGAAGAAACTTGCAAGGCCACCGACTCCTTCGAAGAATGTTCCATCATCAGTCCTTCTTATCACAAATCTAGTGCGACCATTCACAATCATACAATTAAGAGAGTTGCTCCAGCGAACAGGCAAGATCCAGGAAGGTGGTTTCTGGATCGACGCTATTAAATCAAAGTGCATTGTGGAGGTAAGTGACTCATGTCACTGATTAATCACCCTCTGACACCTGACTCATCTATCACTATCACTTTTAATAAATTGTGCTTTTGCAGTTTCCACTCATGTTAGTATTAATAAGTTATGAATATTAAATAAGCTGATATAAGTGGAACAGTTTACCAGGTGACATAAACAAGCTGGAACTTTATCGGTACATATTATTTTTTTTATTTGATTCGTCCCAAAGCTTTTTGCATTTGACATGGTTTTTTTTTAATGAAATTTGACTGCAGTGAATCTACTATGAGGAACTGCATTTTACAGCAAAGTTTGAAATGAGAGGAAATGAGTCTATTGCGCCAAAAAATACTGTCATTTGAGAAGACTTTCAAGGGAAATTTTCTGGAAAATCACATGGAGCACATCAGCAATTTAAAAATACTCTCTAAAATGCAGAGTTTACCCACTACATATCCTGCTGTCTCAAATCAACGGCATTTGTCGGCTATTTTTCTGGCCATCAGCTCTAAGGGAGAAACATGTAAGAAAACTGGCTTTAACAATCAAAAAATCTGGCGAAATGATGATGATCTTTTTCTCACAGATGATTTCAATTGATTCATTTTAGCTCTTTTTTATTTATTTAGAAAGAGAAAGTAAATTCTACTGGATGATGTTGTCATTTGGTAGCTTATTTGTAAGATCAATGGTTTGTTTTTGTTGAAGTCTCCTACATCCTTCTCTGGGCAAACCTGATTGCTGGCTATAAAAGTGCCCTGGAACGAGGGCAATTTGAAACTGTGTAGTAAGATACTTACTTCACCATTGCTGCAACATTGCTGCGTATGTTTAAGTAATTTCCGATGTAATCAATGTGATTTTTAAGGAATTCAATCGATTGAAAGTCTGCAAAGTTGGTGATTTCTTTTGTGTGCAATAAACTTACTCTGTCATCATTTGGTTGGTAAGATTTCACAGCTTAAAAACACTTGTATTTCAAGGTGGCACTGTTGCTGTGCTTTTAAAGTATTTTTGCTTTCCTTGACCCTAGCATTCATGACCATCACTTTTTTAATGAAAATTTACTCAGAAAAATGTAGTACTTTTGCGTAGAAGAAATTATTTTGTCAAAATCGTGTGCACACACTTCGAATAGTACGGTGCAGTTTTTATCCTTAATCGTCTCAGAATTTTTCCATGACAAGATTCCTTGATCAGCAGGAAATTGAAAAATCTGATTTTGATATTTTCATCATTCTACATGGTTTCATTTTATCTCTCCGTTTTGTTGGTAGTTTGAAAACGAGGACCAGGCTGTAGAAACGAGGCATGCTTTACACGATGTTCGCTGGCCAGTGAGTAACCCGAAATTGTTGCACGTGGATTTCTGTAAGAAGGAAGATCTCATCAAGGCGCAAGCTTCAACCGCGGACAGTGCTCGTAAAATGGAGAACATTCTCGCTGATCCGTACGCAATTAAAAAAGTGAGACAGTTTTTGCTTGCCTTGTCTATGTAGTTTTCCTAAGTCAGTTTTATTTTTATTTTTTTCTTTCTGTTGAAAATGAGCCATTCATTTTTAGCCTCAAGACGTTTAAATTTTTCATAAGTGAATACATAAAAGCGGAAGTCAACTCGAATAGAGCTTCAAGCACGGTGAACTATATTACCATGTTTTGTGTTTTTTCTTCTAAATTTAATGTCGAACGTAACTCCAACAGTGGTAGGTTCGAAAATAACTAGGGGTCCACGAAGCGAAGCAACTGTGAAGCGAAGCGGACAAAAAAAACCCTTCAAATACGCTGGATGCAACCCGCAGAATTTCGTGGCGATCACTCCAGCAAGTCGCGACTCAGCGTGCGGCGGTGATGAATTTAATTGAGCACTGGGAAATATGTGAAGAATAAATTCATTAAATTTTCCCCTAAATTTTAATAATAAATTTTTATTGAGATGCCAGCAGATCTAAGGTTTTTTTTTTTTTAATTTGTCATCGCTTTTGCTTTAATTATCACGGAATGATAAAAAATAAAAACTGTTTTTACTTTTTATTTTCCTTCTAATTTTTTTTTTTATCTATTTTAATTTAAAATATTGCAATACCTACAAAAGTGTGGTAAATATAATTTGAAAACCATCGATTTAAACTTTTTAAAAATTTTATTACGATGGAATTGAGGTTAGGAGAAAAGGCACTCCGTGGAGCGGCCTTAAGCGCATGCGCAAAAAACCGGTTTACGTGGAGAATTATCCATCAATCATCGGCATTCGGCATCGATTCCGAAAGAGCGCAAAAATTTGAATTACCGCGAAATTTTCGCTTCCCTTCGCTTTTTCCGACCTTGCGTTTCGTAAAATGCAAAGCTTTGCAGACCCCTAAAAATAACCTTGTTAGCAAGATATATGTGTTCCAATGGCAACTGATGTCAATTGTATATTTCATTGATCCATTTTGTATGAATTTTCAAAGCTCACGTTAATATGTTACTCAGAAGTTTATATCAAAGCTTGTCATCGGGGCTAACTGAAACCTAAAATTTAATATTGAGAGAAAATTTTTATAAAATTAGTTTTGAAAGTCTCTTTCCACATTTAGATGAATGACAGTAAAATTCGGAGTAGTTTCCAAACAACAGTTGTCATACTGGCGTCTAATCTAATATTATAAACCCTGGTAACCTAAAGTTTCTTGGGACAAAAGCAATCATAGGGTGCGATAAAAGAATTATGAGTTATGATATTTAAAGAATAATAGCATGGTACCAATCTACTTCCACCCAATATTTTGACTCTCCTAGCAGGGCAGTGCTCAGAGGCAATTACCTTTTTTTTAAAATGAAACTCAAAGATTGTCAAGTTTCAGGTCCAAAAATTCAGTACATTGAACGCAGTTTAACACATATTCAATCTAGAGATGCCATTTTAAAGAATTAGAGATCTAACCAGTCAAATGACAAAACTTGTATGTTTTAATATGGTAAAGTTCTCTTATATCATCAGTAGGACCTCTCTGATTTCCTCAATTTATTAGTATGCTCGTCATAGTTGTATTTTGAAATCTACTGAACCAAGCCTTCTAATTTTGCTGCTCTCAACAAGTGGATAGTAGTGTCCAAATAAGCTCACTTCTCTGAAATTTTGACTCTGAGGGTTCCCAAGGCTTTTAATGTGTTATTTATGTTGCTAACTTGTTACTTCGGTTGTCCTCAGGCTAAAGGAAATGCACCGGTGAGAGAGTGGGATGTCGGGAAGCCATCGTTCCCCGACGAAATATTGAGTAACGAACGGTCGAAAGGAGGCCTCCGAGGTTTTGACGATATCAAAGTCGAAAGAGATCGGGAGAGAGAGCGTAAAGATAGGATAAGAGACAGAGATAGAGACAGAGATATAGATCGAGAGCGTGAGAGAGACCTTGAAAGGGACCGAGACAGAAAGAACCGCAAAGACAAGAATCGGAGAAGCCGTTCGCCTGGATCTCTTGAACCTCCAGGTAATTTTTTTTCCAATCTTGGCGTTTTTTTTGTTCCTTTATATTTGCTTTTTGTAACCACTCACAGGGAAAGGAGCCTGAGTTTACAGATTCAAATTTCTCAGGAAAGTTTTTCTCAGGATATCAACCGCCAGTAAAAACTGGAAAAAGGAACTTTGATCTCTCTAGAAAATATCAGGAAAATCGATCATGGATCAAGAAATACTAAGCATACAAGCATTTTTCAACTACATGCAGTTTAGCACGTATGAAAGTGAAATATCTGATTCAATGCATTGAATATCGATGGTGAAAGTGCAGAAGTGCGTATCTCGGAAAACACGATTTTCCAGGAGAGTAAAAAAACTGTCTACATTCCTCCTTATTACGAGGTCTGTTCACTAAGTTTCAGGCATTTTGTGATTAAAATCGGGAAAATGGTCCGAATTTGATTTTCTTGGTGTCAATAAAAATTCAAGAGAAATAAAAAACACTGATTTTTACAGAAATGAAAAATATTTATTGGTTCTCATGTTACAGCAGCCTAAAGTGACAAGATTCGACTCAGGCTTCAGAAATCAGTTGTTTTCTTTGGTCGCCAAAATGTTGTAATTTTTTGCTCGGACGATCATATGAAAAAGAAAAAATATTGATAAATAAATTTTGAAGAATAACCTGATATTTGTGTCCCTTTGCAGCTTATCTCCTTCAAATTACTGGCCTTAGCTAACGATGCATTTCCGCCAACGATCCGCCGAATCACGGAAGGCTTTTTAAAAACTCTCCGAGTTGATGTGCCGCAACGTTTGGATTGTGTTCATTTGAATGTCCTCCACAGATTCAAATCTTTGACCTTTTAAAGGTTGCTCCAGTTTTGGGAACAAAAAACTCGGAGAGTTTTCAAATAAAGCCTTCCGTGATTTGTGCAGATCGTAGGCGGAAATGCATTGTCAGCCAAGGCCAGTAATTTGAAGGAGATAAGCTGTAAAGGGACACAAATATCAGGTTATTCTTCAAAATTTATTTGTCAATATTTTTTTCTTTTTCATATGATCGTCTGAGCAAAAAATTACAACATTTTGGCGACCTAAGGAAATAGCTGATTTCTGAATCCTAAAAATCGCAGCGCGGCTTCACAGTTGAGTCTTGTCACTTTAGGCTGCTATAACATGAGAACCAATAAATATTTTTTATTTCTGTAAAAATCAGTGTTTTTGTATTTCTTTTGAATTTTTATTGATACCAAGAAAATCAAATTCGTACCATTTTTCCGATTTTTATCACAAAATGTCTGAAACTTATTGAACAGACCTCGTATCAATAGAAGGGTAATAATTCTTGAGGATAGCAAGAGTAAGATGCCTTTTTCAGGATCCATCCGCATTTTGAATAATTTCTCGAACTGCTAGAAAATACAGCAGAAATACCGAGGTTTGTGTTTTTGGCAGTAAGATGAAAGTGCTCTTTTTGTGTAAAAAGAGGGCTTGAAGTTGCATGTCAAGCTAATTCTAACCTAAAATGTTAAATCTAACTTTTATAAGCAGTTTGCAAGCCAAAATTCCTGTTTAACACTTGCTGCGGACTATTTAATTTTGTGGAAGCCCTCTATCTAAAGTAATTTCTATCCCTCTGTACCCTGTTATCAATAAATTGAGACCTTTTCCCCTTGACTTATCTCAAGTACTGACTCAGTAGAGTAATTCATATTGAATCGGTTTTTATTTTTTTCAGTTCGCCGCCAAAGGAGAAAAGATGACGAAGCACCGGCCAAGTTACTGGATGATTTGTTTTGTAAAACGAAGACTTTGCCTTGTATTTACTGGCTCCCACTCTCTAATGAACAGGTCAGTGTCTCCTATTTTGTTTTAGTTCAAGTGGAACTGTTCTCTGGTGGAGGAATCTCCTCTGAAGGAATTAGGACCAAAATCACTTCATTTGTTTAAAATTTGACCAAATTATGAAATACTGTCATCCGTGAGTTTATGATGAACATTTGTCTTAGACCTAAATTTGTGAATATCTCTTTTCAATGCAATTTTATGACAAAAATCAACTTGGAAAAGTAAAATTTAACGGCACAAGACTGTCAAGTTGTCGCAAGGTGGTTGCTGCTATCATGATCACCAGACAAAGCCGTGCAATCCTGCACTGATCGGATACGGAATTTTAATTCCTCGGTAAGCGCGTTTTGCACATCAGTGTTAGGTCATTTCTACATGTTTTCTTTGTTCGAACTTTTGCATATGTAAAAAAATAGGACAAGAATTTTTGTTGACATAATTTTGATGTTTAAGAGAGACTTGCGAAGTGTGAGAATCCAAGGGAAAATGGGATTTCAAGCTAGCTGACAAAGGGTTCAATTCAGTTTTATGGACGATACATTTGTTTCAAAAACTCAAAGGTGACAGCATTTCACCTTTCACTAAAATTTGTTTTTTCAATTTTTGAGTGATTGCTATGATGTTTGTCTCAGTTGATAGCTTAGGATATGGTTTTTTTACTGAGACTAAAAGGTCTTTTTTTTAGCATCATATATTATTAAAAAGTAGCATTATCAGTCCTCTTACTTTTGGGACAACTTTTGTAGTCTGGTTGATTCCGAATGAACCTGTTGAATTAAAGTTACAATTGATACCTATGACCTATTAAGAAAGCTATCTGAAATATCACGTCACTCTCTCGTATCATATCGATGAGCAAAGTGCAAAACCATGTATCTCTGTTCTTAGCATGTGCATTAATACTTGGGGAACTTATTTTTGTATTTTTATGAAAACACAAATAGGTAGCAAGGAGAATCAGAATATTTGAGAAAAGCACCAAATGCAGAGTTATGGTTAGTGTCTGGATATGTTGGGAAAAATTGAATTTATGTAACTTCTCCTCCTTTTTTTCCCCCTCATTTTAGAGTATTAGTTCAAATTTTTGTCTCTTTGGTTATTTTTTCAATTTCAGCAATTTTTTTTCTAAAAGTAGTGGGTTTGTTCAATTTTCTAAATCCTTGAAATCTAAATTGTACATCCATAAACTTCCATCTAAATCATATGTTTTTTTTTTTTCTTGTTTCTTCCTGAGCAGATAGCAATGAAAGAAGAGCAAAGGCGGCTGCACCTAGCAGAGTTCAACAAGCGAATGTCCGGCAAGTCGTCGGACAAAGATAAATTCGATCGAGATAGAGGGAAAGAGTCCACCCGCGATCGGGATCGGGACTCACGGCGAAAGGATCGATCGCGCGATAGAGACCGCAAATAGTCATCAAAGTGAATGGAGTAGACAGGATCAAACATCATCCTTCGGGTGGAAGCCCTGCCCAGAGTCAAAGATGAATTGGCCTTGCAGACTGCAATTGGAAGCTAGAGATATCTAGGTGCATGGCTTGGAATGGAAGGGTAAAGCAATAATATGGTTCTTAATCATCATATCTAGCCAGATCCTCTCTCTCCTCCTCAATTCCTTGTCTCTCCTCTCCTACTTCACAGATTTCTGCGGTGTATGCGCATTCCATGTAGCTTTATATGGTCTACGCATTCACCCTTTACTGTCTTAAGAATCCCCAAGCTTAATCCTTCTACTTTCTTTGTATTTCTCATTACCCTTAGGTCCAACCTTTCGTTATGTACATGTATAGTTTTATATATTCTTTTATCCATATGTACATGAATTTATCCTTATCCTCATTTTCGTTACTCCTTTTCCGCTATCGCAAAGGGAATCAGAAAGGTCTTACTGCTAATGTGAACTGTTAGAAACAGCTTACCTTGTCTTTTCAAAATGGCAGAGGAGGCAGACAATTAAATTGGGCATTTTATCACTGGTTGATAAAATAAGTTTATGGTGGAAACTAAGCTGAAATTTTCTCCTCTGATACTACATTTTTGTAGTTTCCTCGTATTTTCTTTCTTTCCATTTTTTGTTCATTTTTTTGAAAAGTTGTCCAGTCTTAAGGTACTTGTAATAGGACGCCTTTTTTTCTTTTTATATATATTTATCACTAATTAGGTACTCATGAAATGTCTAATTTTACTGTTTGCCTGGGGAAGAATATCCTCCCTCTCTCAATATTCGTTTTTAAAGATGACGTAAGCAAGATTTCTCAGCTCGCTATTAGTACATGAGACTTAAAATGATGATTTTCAGCGATTCATGTTTGTTTGCAGAATAGTCTTCTCTCAGAGATTGAAACATTTGAAAAGGAAAATCACTTACCACTAGTCTCAATGAAAAAGCTCAAAGAACAAATTTTTTCGTCGATCTTGATACACACAACTGACATATCAGAATGCTGTTGATTCAGTAGAAAAGCCAAAGGCTGAAATCCAATTAAAGAAGTAGAGTTTGTAAGTGAGACGAGGTGTTTCAGAAATTAAACTACTTTTCCAAGGACCTGAAATATATCTTATGGGTGGGGTTTCATTTCTCCCTTGGCCTTGTGTTCCCGATCTAAGGATAGGCTTTGCATGACTGCTTCCTCCTGTCCCTGCTTGCACCTCTTTATTTTTCAGGATTTATAGCCTATCTTTTACAGGATTCGCCCTCTCACTCGCCTCAACTGACAGCTTCTGGAGTTGTGTTAAAGATAACGAGTTGGATGTGTTAATCTAAATATTGCGCAGTGTACGTTTGCTAGCAGGGTTTATTGCAGATATCGCGACAGTGATGATGCCAGCTATCCCGCTGAATTTTGTACTCTCATCAGCATTGCAAATCGGTGTTGCCATTTAAAGTGGTTTGAATTCTGTTCACCGATTGTTTCTTTACACCAACCCCATCAAATTCTCTAAGATAATGGACTCATGAAATTTTATATGTATGACAAAGATTTTTTGGGCCGTGTAAGATGTGTACAAAATTCACAGAAATCGAGGATCACAACTTTAATCAGCAGCCTGCATACTTGTGTATCCCAGGTAGCATTGATAATTTTTGACTTTCTGCAAAACTGAATGGAAGCTTAACTGTTGTGTTTCCATATCATTTCTTCGAAGCGACTTACTTTTCATCATGAGAAAAGCAAAATAGAATTTAAGTGTCGCGCCTATGGGTGCACATTCTGAAATGATTAGCACTACATTAGTCGAAGGTCATTGCACATGATCCTTTGAGATCTTTTTTGTATTTTGTTCAATTATTTTTCATACCAATTTTTTCTGTTTATGATAAAATGTGTTGTTAATGCTTTTAGGAAACCAATTTTGCTCGAGTGATTGCATGTAAAAACTTTCTATTTTCAAGCAGAGCATAAAATAAAAGATTTCACCCTAATTTTGTTTTTTTTTTTCAATTTTCAACCTTTTTTTCCCCTACCAAAATCTTCATCTTCATCTAAAATTTATCAGATGAAGGCACGAATCAATCAGAGGCAATACTTGCGCTGTGAAAAAGACTGGAGAAAAAAGCATGATTTAGAAAACTAAAAGAAGTATATTTACAGTATTATACACAAACTTGAACGATTTACAATGTTACAATAAAATGACTCACTATGCAGAGAGAGCTGCAAGTTTTAATTTAGTATGAGGTTAAAAATTTAGTGACTTAGTGAGAACTTCATGGATACAGTTGGGAAATTTTAGAAGGTCGGCGATAACTGAATTTTTCAAACTGTAATTGAGTAGAGAATGTTTTGGTTTGATTTTTGATTGAGATGTCTTTCGAATAATTCACATCGAATAATCATCATCTCTCAATTTGATGAGTTGATGCTTGAGAAATTTGATTTAACGATTTTTGAGATAGCAACAAGATAATATATATGACACTTTTTTCCATAAAATTTACACATTTCTGTACAACTTATTGCTTTGAAACCAAGTTTTAGATTAAAACCAAACTGACATGATCCAATAATTTATAATACTTAATTAACACGAGGATTGTAATTTCTTTGAAAACTAACAACTTGGAAACATTCACTTTTCACCCATTTCGCAAGAAAATATTGCAGTTTTTTACAGTGTATTGCATATTGTTCCTGATGCAAAGACAGCGGTCAACACCCCATTTCATACTGCAATGTTCATGATTCAACTATCGACAGTAAAGTTTTGATAGAGAGAAAAAAATATCCTGATGAAAGGGTTCTTTTCAGTCTTCAAGGTTTACTCATGAGAGTCCTATGAGCCATATTCAGTACTACCTTGGACTGAAAGACTCTGATCCCCTATACATTCAATTAAGATTGAAAGCAACTTAATAGTCAAAAGGAAGGCTGTGAATGTAGCTCACCATCATTTACAATTGGAGAAGTGTGGATACTCATGGTACAGATTTTTCCTTCTCTTTCGTTAGCCATTAGAGCAGCAAGAATGTCTCTTATGAAGCACTCTCATAACATTCACAATTTTTGTTGCCCCTCCCTTAAAATTAGTTTCCACAGTTCGTATTTAGAGGCCGCAACTGCTTGTTCAAGCGACAATGAAGTAAAGCAATTACTAAAAAAACATTTCACTAATCATACAGATCAGTACTTGATAGTAACTAACTAAAAAAAGAGAAACAGCGTTACCTAGATGTACAAAAACAATTGGTAAACGTTTCTTTTGTTTGTATCAGAAGTGGAAGTTCAGCCAATGGAATGAACAATTATTGAAGTTCATTTTAAGAACCTTGATCAATAGAAATTATAATTTGTGTTGGAACATAAACCTTTTATTTTCACCAAATCGTTTTTCTTTTCCAAGTGGTGGTCCTTTTCTCAGTGCGAAACATAATCCATGTTTTCTAAGACAATTAGACAGTTTGACATCATGTCTATTTGCCATATGAATATTACAATATGAGTTTGACAATGTGTTGAAAGTGAAAATTGATGTAAGACCACTGGAACTCTTCAAAAGGTGGAAAGGTATAAATCAAAGCCTCCTAAATTTACTCGTGAATAATGAACACTTTTAAAACGGAGACAAATAAAAAAAAAGGGGAATCAGCCTCTGAAACACCTATTTTTCCCCTCGTCATAAGATCTCTCAATTCTCGTCAATATAAAACAGTCGGAGGGACATTTGTCTATTCTTTAATCAGGAATGGAGGACAGAATAATTTTAGCAGAGCACAGAAATCAAAATTTAAGGACGGAGGGTTGATTTATTTAGGTCATATTTCTCTAGGCACCTAATTTTGTAGACAAATCAATGGCAGAATAGCTGTTTCTGAAATAAATTTCTCGCATGGTAAAATAAAGAGCTTCTTACTGTTGCACTACTTAGAGAAGAACACCAAATGAGTCTAGTAAGATGCAAAAAATTTTTTTATGAAATATGAATTTACAAAAAAAAAGTTGTGAATATTTTTTTTTTTCAATTTTTCAGAGAATTTCATTTGTAATTGGTCCTAAAGTGTCTGAAAATTGAAACAAAAAATATTCATAAATTCCCTCGAATTTTTTTTTCTAGAGGAAATTTGGCAACATTGAATGTTCATGCGGTGTTTTACTTAAGTATAGCAACAAAGAGCAAGATTGAGTACCGTGATAATGTTTTGACTGATACTTTTACTTCCACTCGAGAAACTTTTTTACCGTTAATAACTAAGAATATTTACAAAATCACACAGCCCGTTGGATAGATGGGGGAAAAATGGGTAGACGGAGGGTATCAGTGGTGGACTCCTACATGAAGCAACCACAGACTGGACAGCGACAGGATGAGAGATGGGTAGAAGTAGCTTGCGGCGGATGGTTCAGAGTTGTCACCAGCCTGAGATCCAGTTTTTCCGGTGCAAACTTTGCTACAATCTTCATTTTCACAAATATCACAGCTTGTTGACGCTCTCGCTTCGTAGAACACGCGTGCCCTTCGAGCTGAAACAAAGATAAATATCAGATGAGGTGCTTTGATCAAGTAAAGAATTTAATCAATTGTAAATCTCCATGAGCTATCGGCCTTAGAAGTAAAGTTTTCTTTTTCTCATATGTCATAGTGTCTTCAGACTTGTCAGGCAAAAATTTCCTGACTATTCCAGGTTTACTCAGACCAAAATTATCAAAATTCCTTGACTTTTCCTTTCGTCAATTTAAATGCAAAGCACTAAAAATGAAAAATGTTTGCATCAATTTCACTGCAAAAAACAGAAACAAGAGAACTTTTTCCTTCAGTTATGATTCATTTAATTGACTAAATCAGCAATACCTTATTGTAAATATTTCCTCTATTCATTTTTCAGAGAGTACCTTACTGAGAGCATTGAACCCGCTACTAGACTGAGACTCAGTTTGATTTCATGGACAGCGCTGACGTTTTTGAAGATCATAAGTTTCAAGATTTTCCAAAATTTCTGTCTTTTTCCTCCAATTCCCTGCCTTTTCCTTGATTTCCCTAACCAGATGAAATTCCCTGACAGTTCCACCCAGACCTGTAGACGCACCGGTGTCTTTTTGAATCTTTTTTTTAGAATTAGAAAAAATATTTGCTTCACAAAGAGAGGGGGGAAAGAGAGAGAGAGAGTTATATCTTACTTAACGAAGAACGTGTGAAACCAAAAATCGTGACGTAAAAAACTGTACAAGACATAGTGTTCAAGAGAAAAAGGAATACATTTTGAATAAAAAAATAAGAAACTTACATTGGTCGTAATAATCGTAAACAGTAACAGGCACAGGTCGTTGACGAGCAACTTTGTGGGTTCTGAATGCTGAAACTGTTGGACAGTATTCTTTCTTTACCATCTGTAAAATCGTGAAAAACAAGGAATTACATAAAAAATAAAAATTTCAAAAAAAGTCCCAATATTACTTTTGAGGATTCTGTTGCCTACTAGTAATTCTTCATCAATAACAGCCTTACTATTTCAAAAAGAAGAGAGGTGAAAATAATTTTTGCTTAAATTTTTTTGTAAGGAATTATTTCCTATTTCTGAAGATTTATCTCGGGTGGTTTCTTACAAATGCCTACTTTGCTCGGAAATTAAACTGTCTTTAAAAATGATCTCTAGCGTTGAAACAATACATTTTAGGTCTGATGAGTTTAAAAACTGAAAAAGCGCTACAAGTATTGAATATTTCTTCGAAATTTTTGTTGATTGCCAATGTAAAACCACGTATCTCCGTTCGCACCGTGGCAGACTTCCTATCATACTTTATTTTTTCGTTAGAAAACTAGTCAACGTAATTTCTTGAAAACTTCCTTGATTTTTCTACTCTGATAGCAGGATATTCTGTATAAAAATTAAATGATCTTGTTTTACTTCTAAAAAATAAAATAGAAGCAGAAAGTTTGAAACATTGCAATGGAGATGCAAGGTTGTGCACTTTGACCATCTCGAGGAATAGCAGTACTTCTATTTCTAGGAGCTGATAATGTATTAGGACTTTTAGAAGGAGTTAAGCCATACAGTCACATCTACGCTGAGGTGTTTCAAAACCTTATTGCTTATTTTAATTGTTTAATGGAAACCAACTAACATTTTTGCTTAATATTTGTGGACAAAACCTTCATATGGGCAAAACAATCTCAATAATTTTTGAAAAGAAATGTTGGTTGGTTTCTTTGTACAAAATTAAAATAGGAGATGAGATTTTGAGGCACTGCAAATTAGATGCGACTGCTTTTATTCATCTTCTCGTATTTAAACAGGAATGTTTCAGGCACTTAACAAGAGCAAAAAAGTGTACCTATATTGAACCTCTCAGCATACGCCAATTCAACTCTGTCAGCTTACTGATTTTTAAAATTTTGTTAGAACTGAAACTATTTTTACTGAGGCTTGAATTTGAAAAACCTCNGGGTGAGTGGGATCAAGACCCGCTCTAATGGAAGAGAAGGGCTGATGAAGAAACTTACCTTGTCAAAGTAAAGAACGACGACTGTATCTCCATCTTTGGTTTCAACTCGTTTGACATTCTGAGAAAGTTGCAAACTTGGTAATGAATCTGAATCTACCGTGAAACCTGACGGCAATGCTACTTCCATCACTACCATGTTACTCTCGTTTCCTGCAGCGAATCTAGAAAAAATTAAAAAAGAATTTCAGCATAAGAAGCTTAGATCTGGACCGCTGGGGTCTTGGGAAACTTGGATTTTCAATTAAACGGCAAAATTGAGAAAGAAATGCCGTTGGACCTGGTGAGGTGAACCTCATAGGGGTGAATTGAGGTACATACTTCATCGAGTAATGTCAAGCTCACGGCAATCTGGAGCTTTCTTTTTTTATTTAGATGCAAGTAAATTGAATAATAAGGTACTACATATGTGCATAAGGTTTGCGTGCAACATAGCTCCTTGTGGTGTAAAGAAGTCAATTTTACTTAAATCACTTCCAAAAAAACGATTTCTGCTTCTGAAGATCTCAAGCAATGAAAAACATATAAGTTCCAAAACTCGTTAAAAACTTCGAGGGACAATCCTCCTCATATCAGTTCGGTACAAACGATTTGTTATGATTTATGAAGATTCCAGATCAGAGGATTTCAATGTAAAAGAGTTTTTTTTTTCATTGCACGTAAAAGCAAAAATAGCCAACATTGAATAACATTATACGCAGTTTTCTAACAAAGCAATATGAGGATGGAAGCGAGTTTTGCGGTACCTATTAGCCAAAATTTGGTACCAGTTAATTTTGCTAGGAGAGCTTGAATGAATGCTTATGGAAATGTTTTTCAAATGAAACTTAAATATGGATGACCGAAGTTCAAAACCATGTTTCTCCATTGCAATGCATCAAAATTTCTACATTTGTTTCATTTTATTAAAGAAAGGCAAGATAATTTTATAGCTTGAAATTTATACAGAATATTCTGCTAGCGGAGAAGAAAGATCGAAGAAATTTTCAATATGTTACGTTGACTTCTTTTTCAAAGAAAAAATAAATTATGACTGGTAGTCTGTAACGTTGCAAACGCAGATACGAGGTTTTGCACTTTGGCCATTGATATAATAAAATTGTAGGCAAATAATTAGGCGATTCTGGTCCGATACACTCAGATCAAATTCATCTAGAGAAAAAATGGCTTCATTTCTGTTGCAAGGAAAAACTTTCAGCTTACCCAGAGCAAACAGAAAGTTGAAGATGGTTGACATCAGAATTTTTGTCAACTTGTGGGTCCAAAGTGAAGGAAGGCCACGCCGCTGTGACGTTGATATTGTAGCGGTAAGATACTTGAACAATTCCAAATCCACTTCCTTTTGCTGTAATGTTCATCTCTCGTACTTTGGCAGGTAACTATTAAAAATGAAAATAAAAATTATGGCTTGCTAGAGAAATAAAATTACTGAAAGAAAATCAATTTGGATAAAAGAGTTAAATGATGACATTTTTTAGGGGGGGGGGGGGGTTGTCAGTCACGTTCATTACAGACACTTTAGGGTGTTACAGAGGCTTAATCATTTGGAGTGAGAAATTTTAAAAAATCCTTAAATTTATGCAAGAAGAATCCCCTTCTCCTTCTCAAAGTGTCAATACTAAATATAAAATTCAGAAAGAGCGACACTGAAAAATAGAGCGTCACGGACATTACAAACTTTGGACATGCAATTTTGAAAAACTATTTAAAAAATCAATTTTCTCATCAAATAGTGATCCTAGTAAAATTTTAAGCGCATGTATGGGTTTAATGTAACATAGAGTTGGGAAAATTGATGTCGAGAAAAATATTTGTATTACAATTTTAAAAGTTATTTCCTTTTTATGTCTGGGAAATTACATAATTCATTTAGTTCAACAAAATTTCTTCACAAAAATAACGTTTTCATTCTAAAAGAAAATACTTTAAATTGTTTGTTTTTTTTTTTTTAATTTTTTCTATCAAATGCTATACGCACTAAAAAAATGTTTAGTTTAATTTAGTATAAATATAGGTTTCCGATGAAACAAAGAAATATGTATCTTTTTCCCCGAATTCCTCTTTTAAAACAAATGCTTCCATAGGAAAAACTTGTCATACACACAAATAAAAACTATTGAGAGTTAGTAATCTCTGATTGAATGAACTTTACACTTCACTTTGATTAGTTTCAAGAGAAAGCAGGGGTCCAGGATGATTTGAATTTAAACATAATTTTTCTATAATAACTTTAATTATTTTGGTACGTAAGAAACAAGCAAAATCAGTGTACCTCGTATTTCTGCAGAATCATTGCATTGCCTCGATTCACAGACACATCTGTGGTTGTGCCTTTCAAGTAGGAGAAGCTGACTGATAAATCTTGAGAGCTGGTAGAAATTTGTTCGGCTAATTTTGACAATGCGTAGAGTGCAATCACAGTATCCTGTAAAAGAAATAATATTTTAAAGAGAGATGTTTCAATGGGACTATGTTTTCAAAATATCCCTCCAGTCTAAGGATACTTCTTACCAAGAAAAGGATTAAAAAACTTTCAAATTTTATTCACAATTTGTGTGGGAAAAACATAGGAGAAAGTTTGTTTCTATACAAGAGTCTATGACAAAACTAACCTGATAAGTAATAAAACAACATCTTTGAAGTTATCGTACTGCCATTTGGACATATTTCTACCAAACAGACCTATGTGGAAGTGAGAAATATGGGGTGTGCTCGTTAGTTCTCTGACCGTGGCGAGTAAATGAGAATAATAAGGCGCCAGTGACGTCAGCAGCAACGAACGACTGCCGCCACGACGGGGAGATCGTTGGAGGGAGTCTTTAACTCATGAGCCCTGTGCACAAGGCTCTCTTGCCATGCCTGCGGCTCACGACTCTCGCATTCAGTTGGCACATAGGTCTGTTTGATAGAATGTAAAATCCCACTTTCCCAATTCTTCAAAAGGAATCATGCCCACTTTTACATTGCTTCTAATGCAGCTTCCACGAGCACACCCCATATTTCTCACCTCCACATAGGTCTGTTTGGTAGAAATGCGTCCATTTATGGCTCCAGTACTTTAGCTTACAAAGACTAAAACACTAGAAAAAGGTGCTCTTAAAACTTAAAATTGTTTCTAAAACGTGAAGTTTCTTTCAATTCTTCTTAATCGTAACGAACACACAATCCTCTTAGTGGAAAGAAAATTATTTGTTGAGGATCAAGATACTGCATACCTGAGTAGATGCAAATCCACCTTGGTCGTTTTGCTGAGAGATCAACCAAGAGAGAATAGGGAGAGCATCTTCTAGCAAACCTCGTTGAAGATACGTTAACAGGGCATATGAAGTCATTTCAACATCCACGCTATTCGGTTCTTGTGCCCATGGGTTCTTAGCATCAGATTTACGTTCCGCTCGTTTCCACCATTTGTGACCATCTGGAAAGAAAAGGTGAATTTTTAGATGGACATCAGCAAACAATAAAAAACAACGGATTACATCTTAATCATTCTACTTTATTGAGATAAAACGATGCTGATGATAGAAACCCATCCATCTTGCCAGCAGTATTTTCAAACTGATTATGTTTGATTTTGAAAAGAATAAAACCCCAACGGTTTTGCATGTGTACTAACAATGATTAGTTATTCTTCCAAGACAAAAAACTTGACGAGAAATCTTTAACATTTGAAACCAAGATGGCCTACCATCGATACTTAAACCAAGGAATTGAGAGCTACCGAAAAGTTCTTTTATTTTTGCTTTAAAAGAAACCTTATTGAGATAAGTGAAACTTCAATTAAGTTCTAACTTGATTAGCTTGGGTGAAATACAGCTAAAAACCTTACAAATTATCCAAATGGTAGCATTCGTTGCAGTCTTAAAACTGATGCAGGATATCAACATTTTTCATAAAATTACTCTCTACTCGAGCTTTCTTGTCTCAAAGTCACTGCGAGAGGATCTATTACCTTTGGCCTGAGCTTTCGATTCCAATAGATTGAACGCTGCTTGCTTTGCAGGGTGTTGGGCCAGATGGAGTGCATAAGCGCAGATTGCAATTGCGTAGCTATCGTCCAAACCATCAAGATGACGTACAATGTAATCGACACCTTTGCTGATCGTATTACGGTAGAGGGGTGTTGCCCGTGCGTTTTCCAAGAAAGCAAGGAGGGTGTAAGCGGTCAACGCAAGGCCTTTGGCTGAGCCACCTTGCATATCTGAGTGACTCACTTTGCCCACCTCTGGGAAACTGCCATTGTTAGCTTGGTTGTTTGAGAGCCAGCTCAGGGCTTCCATTATAACTGATTCCTCAATTGAGATATGAGGAGTGGCTTGGCGGAATGATTTTGCAACAAATGCTGTCAACCTGAAAAGTAAAAAAGTCAAAAAAGACGTATTATTAAACAATTAGACTTCTAAATTATATACTGCAAAAAACTAGGGTGATAAAGCTGGGACAAAATAGAATACAGAGATGTACTATGGTAACTTTTGACCCAAAACCAATACAATACAATACTGCGTTACTACGTCAGAGAAGTAAGTTAAAGCATTTTCAGTTTTATCAATTTTTTCATGTTTGTTTCAAAAATACTTTTAAATTTTAGCGGTGAGTCTGTGATAATACCATCCAATAATTCAACCCATGATACTAAAGGAATCATACTTCAGATAAAGGTAAAAGGCACCCTGTGCTTTATATTTCTTCCTACAGAACTGATCTAAATTCTCTTTGAGTGATGTCAACACTAAAATTTCTACACTTAATTTAAGTTTCATCAATTTATAGATCTGATCCCTGAGTTGTTTTTATTGTTGTAAATTGCTTTTAAAGGATAAAAATGATAGTGAATAGTCTTATTTCATACAATCCTTATGGGCTTTAAGAAATTAGAGTCGTACCATGTGCTACCATTGGGATCAGCAGTACCAAAAGCACTGAAGGATCCATCGGGACGTTTATAGGTTAATTCTTGCTGGTAGCCTGTTTCTAGGAAACGAACAGATTTTGCTTCAATTGCGGGAGTCAACTGTCGAGAATTCTACAAAAAAAGAAATAGTTTTAGAAAAATATCAGAAACTTGAAGAATATATATTTTAAATGACAACCTAGGGAATATTATTCTGACCTTATTTTGAAATTTATCAGGAGTTCAGAAAAACGCTCATCAACAAAAATAGAATTGGATCATTTAAAACTTCATTTAAAAAATATTTTACAGGCTGTTGGAGTCAGTATCATTCCAAATTGGTTTTAATACTGCCGTTACATTCCTGCAGTAATTTCATTTTGGGGCATTTTCTTCTTAACAGCAATATTTTTTTATTTTATTATTGATTAATGACTTTGAAATAATCATTAGGTATTATTTGATTTATGACTTTGAAATAATCATTAGGTATTATTAGGTTTATGACTTTGAAAGAAATATTAGGTAAAAATATTATTCCGTACCTTTAAGTAATCTAAAATAACAATGTTAGGAACGAAATTCAACATATTTTGTTCACCGCAGCCGAACGGCATCTTGATTAGATTGGCCAAGTTGGGAAGACTTGGACCGAGGAGATCACCTGAGAAAAGAAAGGTACGTAGATAAAATTAATAATAAGCGAAATAAATAAAATATTCAAAGATAAAAAGAGCTTGAACAGTTATCTACATTAATCGTAATGGCAATTTTTTTCAGGTTTCCACTACCATCATGGATTTAGGTACTTTTCAATTATGCCTCAATGACGATCAAAAGAAAAAAAAAGTTAAATAAAAAAAAGGAAAATTCCGGGGAAAAAGTTTGCCTAATTTTCGACGTTTTACTTTCTGACACACTATCATATGGAAATCTGAGGAAATCCAGAAGATAACTGAAAAGTGAAATTTGTGGCAAAAATAAAAATTAGTGAGAAACTAGGTTTCACAGACTTCATGGACAAACAACTCCTGCACAAATTACAGGCAGTAGACACTGAGAGAAATTAAAACGTGAACACTTACCAACAGCGGAGACTTCAACAAAATCTGAGCCTGGAATGAAATTGGGAGGAATATCTAACGTAACATTAGTGTTGAAACTTGAGTTTCGTCGCAGGTCAACAAAGATGGCCTTGTTCTTATATTGTGTTACACCTTCCGCCTGGAATAAAAAATGACAGGTCAGAATTATATTAACGATAAAAATAAAAAATTCTCAGAAAAATTTAAATGAAAGGAGTTGTTTTTGCTCTAAGATTAACAGTGACAAGAAAAAACTTTAAGATGAACTTAGTGAAATATCAAGTGAATCCGGGGTAAGGCTGACATTTTGAGTTAACTGCAACCTCATTCTCTACTGAAAAAATATAAACTAATTGAGACATTGATTTGCTGTTATTGTGAAACCGAGATAGTGTTGTAATTGTCTCGGCATTACAATAACAGCGAATCAACGACTCAATTTTTCGTTTTTCTTTTGGTTGAGAGTGAGGTTCAAATCAACTAAAAAAGTTTCCGTTTTTTGTGTGTGATCTTTTGTACTTTGCAGCAGTCGATCCCTGGATGCAGCTGTTATTTTACTATGCTTTTTGGTTGATTGAATTGTTCATTTTATGGTGAACTAGAGAGACATGTTGCTAGAGTAGAGTGTTTTTTCAATATTCCTGCACTTACTCAGTTTTCTTTTTAAAAAAACGGGCTTCTAGACGAGACATATTTCAAAGCAGTACTTGATATGTTTTCTCTTCAAAATTTCATGAGGAAAACGAATGCAAGACATAATTGTTTATGATTAGACGTATTTCTGCTAAAAGGAACTATGTGCATAGGGTTTGCATGCAAAATAGTTCCTTTTAGCATAAGTACGTCCAATTAATATTGACTTAATTGCGAGAATATGAATAACATCATTCGTATAGTCCAAATTCCATTTGATTGGTGTGGAATATACATATAAATATCTCATTCAAAGTTGATTTTTAAACTTTCTGTTGTGTGAACTTTTAATTTTACTTAAGATTTTGAGAAAAAAACATGTGACGCTTTTTTCGAGTTCAGACCTTTTCTAGGGGTCCATTATAATTCTTTATGAAATTTTTAGAGAATAATTTTAGTAACTGAAAATGAAGAACTTCATAAAAAGACGGAAAATATGACTTAAAATAACAAAATAAGTGGAAAATGGCTGAATTGAAGCAAAAAAGTTTTCACCTTGACAAGCAGTTTTCTTTCTACAGCATCACCAGCTAAAGCACTGGTTGCAGTGACTTTGATGGAAATGTAACCCAAGTCTTTTGCTTTGATTAGGAACACAGTATTACTACCGGAGTTGGCTTTTACCGCAACTTTTTTCCTCCGATATAATTCCACCTCTAAAAAGAATTAAACAAGGAACAAAATTAACATGGTATCATAAGTGCATCAGGTTACATAAAGTTAAGGTGTAATGAAGGACTGCTCGCAGAGAAAGAGATCTTAATTCTTGGAAGCAAAATTTTTAGCATGACAACTTTTTTCTAGTTAAGTTGAGATTCGACAAAAAAGTCTCCCTAGTGTCCTGAAGGACAAGTCGCAAGCAGTTGAGCTAATTTTTTTAGTTACATTTTTAAAACAATGCACGATTGTTGATTTCTTGAAAACAATTTTTTTGAAATATATCATGGCATGCGCCACTGTTAATCCACTAAAATCTGCCCACTTGAAAATTTGTTAATTTCCTCAAATATTCTAAAAGTGAGTCTAGGGTTTCCCTATAGTTACTTCTGAGACATTCAAGAGTATGGATAAATTGATTTCTCAGAATCCAAATTTTATCACATGCAAAAAAGGGTTAAACATTTTTTTTAAACGAAAATGGTATTTTTCGATACAAAAATTAAATGGAATAAAAAACGTAATGATTTGATGACCAATTTTTTAATGAGTAGTGTGGCGCTTACTCTGAGGTTCGTCAACTTCATTTGAGTGATCAGCAAATTCGAACTGTCCAACATTTTCCAACGTAACATCAACAGAGAGATCTTTGTTCAAGTAGTTGAAAACTACAACAGGGATTGCAAGGACTTCTCCTCGTATCACAGAGTAAGGTAAATCTAGCGAGACGAAAAATTGCTTGAAGACTGTCAACTGAAATAAAAAATACAGATGGCATAAGAACATGTCTGTAAAATGACAATCATTAAAACTATCATTGAGTTTTTTAATTGAAAAGTGCTCCTGAAAGATTTGGAAGATTTTTGAAGAAAATTTTGACAGAGCAATGGAATGACATAGAAAATTTGAGATGACTCCATGTTATATTGCTGATTTGCTGTTACCTTCGATAATAATGGAGGTGCGGAAAATTCGAAACATTGAAATTAAGAAGTCGATGGAGAAATTGTAAAAATGCACAGCTCAGTCGTGGTGTTTGAAAAACTCTGCTCCTATTTCATTTCATAAATGAAGACCAACATCATGGCTTAAAATTTTCACAGAATATTTTTTGCAGAGAGAAGAAAAAAACACCAAAGTTTTCAAAATATGACGTTAAGTAAATTTAAACGTAAAAAATTAAATATGGCACAAAATCTGCGATGCCACAAGCTGACATGAGCATTTCCGCAATTTTACCATGGATATGTGATTGATAGACGGTTAAAAGAAGCAGGAATTTAGAGAGAAAGAGCTAAAATTTAGGAAAAATTATGAAAACCATCAATGGAAAAAAACTTAAAATCTGATAAGAAATTGAATCCTTCTTTCAGAAAAAATTCACAAAATAACAGAAACTAATTTTGCATTAAGGAACACTTTCAAAGTTGAACTCAACAGAATTTTAAAATGAGAATTTCTAGCAATGTGAGTTTACCTTTTTCGGAACTGATAGTAAACCGAAACCATTCACTGGATCTACTGAGAATGCAGTGATTATCCAGGAAGTGATGGTGTCTGGAACATCTTTCTTCAGCGAGACCTTGCCGTCGAAACTAAAAATCAAAGTTGAACTGACTGAATTTACAGTATGGAAAACTGTACAAAATGATTAACTGAAACGCAAAGTAGATAGAAAAAGACTGGAGGGGTTTCTTTCAGTTTTTGGAATGATTTTGCATCAGACAGATAGACAAACGTTGAGACAGTTGGTAATGGAACGCTGTGAGCTATGAAATGAGGAAATAATTAATCTTTTCATAAAATAAAGCCCACAAGAATGCTGCAAATGTGTTGTTGACCACCTTCTCCCCACTTAGACTTATAGGAATAAACTTTTTGCCACTACACCAACAGTTTTTTTTTTTCTTCTGGACAGGTTATATTACTTTTTTAGCAATGATAGCTAACTTGAAATTTGCAAACTCATACTCAAAATACCTAGAATAAACCTACAAGATTGGGAATAGGTGGAGTGGAATTTCTGTGAAACCTTTGAAGTTCGTTTTGTTAAAACCCAATTTCAATACTCAAGTCTTTTCACATGTAACTCTACATGTGTGCTTGAGTTTCTGTCATTTTAGGTAGAGTAACATTCTTACTTCAACATACATGTACTAATTTCTTACATATTTTAGGGGTTGCTGCTTTGATATGTTTGATACAAATGGATAGTCTATTAGAAAGGAACCACACGTTTATTTTGGGACATTGATATCACATCCGTTTAGTCCAAGAATTGAAAACCAAAGTAGTTTCAACTACTCTGGTTATGATTTTGGCTCTCAGAATTTAAAACCCATTAAGATAGAGTCTAACAAAAACACATAGAGTTACATTTAAAAAAAATAGGAATTGGGAGAGGTTTTGAATTAAACTAGTCGCAAGTTTTCTCCTGTCAAGGATTGTCTAGTAGATATTTTGAACTTGAAAAAATCATTGAGCTTGGTCTATAATATTGTGTCTTTTGAAGGTATACAACTTCAAACGACTTTTTTGCTCGGTTTAAACTTAATGCCACTAGGCGCATTTCACTTAAACTTGGACCATATCAAAGTGAGGAACCTTCGATGTTGCTTGACTCAAAAAGAAAACCCTCTGCTATAGGAGACGAAAAGAGATAAAGCATAGGGCAAAAAGTCGTTCCCAGAAACTTGAAGGGGGAAAAAATTATGTAAAAAGCACTGGCCCACTTGCTAAAAAGGAGAGGAAAATAAGTGTGAAAAGAAATGGCGAAAGAGTGCTTCGGAAACAAGTCCCAGCTTATGAACACAGAATGTGCTACGCGGAATGAAGTCGATGGTTAAGTGCAAAACCGTGTACCTCCATTTGCGACGTAGCAGACTTCCTGTCATATTTCATTTTCTTGTTTGGAAAACTAGACAACGTAATCTCTTGAAAGCCTCCTTGATTTTTCTTCTCTGTTCGAGGCATATTTTGTATAAATTTCAAGCTGTCAGGTTGGCTTGTTTCTTTTTGAAAAACTAAAATAGTAGCAGAGATTTTGAAACATCGCAAAGGAGGTACATGGTATCGCACTTTGGCCATCCAATTGCAATGCCTAATGCCAATTATTGTACTGTGCATAGAATTATGTTTAAGCTTTGCATAAGCAATAACAGCAATGCTTTGAAATTATTAGCTATAACTCCAGAGAAAATAGAATGCATAATATTGTAACAGGAATAGTATTCATTACAGTAACAGCCAAGATGGGCAAAAAAGATAATTTGTGCTTGAAGATCTTTTTTTGAATTGAGACTATGCAGTATGCACACATGAGGAAACATCAAAAAATTGATGATATTTTTATGAAATTTCTGGTTTTGCTTGTTGTTAATGGCAAAAAATGGACCCATAATGCTTATCAAGTTCAGCGAACATTATAATACAATGTCTAAAAGGTAGTAGCACTGAATATATTGGTATTTGGACGTAAATTTTGGCCTTCCAGAAAATTTTTCTGAAAAACCCAACAACCCACGTCAAGAATGTACCATTCCGTTTTGACTGGTCAGAGTACAAAATTTTGTTTCCTTTCGACTATGAATGAAAGATTTCACAGAAAAAAGTCAGGGAATGAACTGGTGGGATAGGTCCCTTCAAATCATGGATCCTTATTTTTACTAAAGAAATAAAAGCAAAACCAAGATTCTGTTACGTAACACACTAACACAATGTTCTTATACAATTTTTATCAGACACCTGTTCGGAAAGCAAATCTAGCTCGGAAAAGAAAGCAAGAGAGGAGAGAGCATAAAAAAAGAAGAATGATCATACCCTGCGGATATATTAGCAAAGAGCCAAGTATCGGCAATATCATGCGGTAAAAAGACGCGAGGCTTGTTCCACACAGGAAATGGAATTCGTGAAAAGGCGTACGGGCCAGCTAAAGGAGGCCTCGTGGCTTGACGATACACCACAGGAGGCCCGATATCAGGCTTTACAACAGGTATGCCAGTGGGTGGTATTGGTCTGTTGGTTACACGATTTTCCGCCTTCAGATTACGACCGGATGATAGCCGGGCTGAAGAACAGAAAAAATGTTTTTGTTGCCAACATGAAATGTACTTATACAGATTACTTACAAAAAATCAATTCGGTGAGTGATGTCGATTTTTAATTGCACCGACTGAACCTTGGTAAAATTAAGCAAAATGCTAAAAGATGCTGCTAGGTTTTTTCAAAATAAACTGTAAACTCAAGAAACTTCATGTCAATGAATCCTGCGATGGGATTGAACTCAGAGCTATTAATTACCATCTTGATGCTTGGAGTTACCACCCAGAGTAGAAAATCCACTAATGTGATCAACCCCTTCTCTGCAAGGAGAGGTTCACTAAATATGAGGGAGGATTCTCTCATGCTAAGTTAATGCTCCTGAATTGTATCCGGAACCTCAAGGGCTTTTCTTTGAGTTTGGGAGTTGATTTTGGATAAAACAAGTTGCGCCATACAGCTAATTGCAAATTTAAGAAAAGGATAGTTGGTTGCATCAAAAATTTGACTCTAAAAAGAGCTCTCATACTTAATCAAGAGGAGAATTTTCTTTCTTTCAAAGAAAAAAATTTAGTGAAAAGGACAAAAGTTGACTTGACTCTTTGAGAGATTTAAAAAGGGGTTATTTGGATGAGTGATAATCTTCATAACTTGATGTAGCGTTTTTGGCTGTTATCATTTTCATTAAATTTTGAAAACAGACTTCTATTATGACAAGATTTAAGAATTTACAAGCAAATTTGAATTCTGGTTGAATAAAGGCTAGGATTTCTCAAAGAAAAAATATTATATTCAACTGCAATTTTGGTGTTATACAGAGTTAGATACGGAAATTAAATATATAATGTTATTACATGTATATTTTATTACATTATTTTCTTTCAAGAAGTCTTCATTTCATGGAATTTTTCATCAAATTCAATTGAAAAAATCTTTAAGCTTACAATAGTAGTAGCCAGGTTTCAATATGACAGATACCTGAAAAAACGTGGCTCATTACTGCAAGTTTTTTCGAAGCCAAATCCTTCATCCAACACCAAAAATGGTATACACAGGGACACTGAGTGGCAAATGAGTGGTATTCAAATAGTATAAATATTTAGCATTTGGCAATTTTGAAAAAAAATTTAATCTTACAACAGTTTGCCCTGAGTGCTTTCAAAATTTTCCTCAGAGATCATAAAAAAAAGTGATCGATGTCAGTGACTGAAAATATGACAGCTGAAAATTATCTAAGATACTTGGGAATAAATACTGACAAGCAAAAGGGATGAGTTAAGACGGTTGTTTGCCTAAAGCAAAATTATTGCTGCTGATAATATTATTTTCAAGCTGCCTAAAGGCCCGAGAAGCGTCTAAACCAAATTAATGCTCCTTATCCCAACACCAGCAATATGATACATTGAGGTTGAATTCAATTGCAATTTTTTTAAGGAATGATTCCCAAATTTTGCCAAACATTTAACTGATTAAGGTCCCAAAAAATTAAAGAGTGGAGATAGACTCTCTTTAATTTTTACAAAAATACTAACTGTACAATTTTTTTTTTTTTTTTTTTTTTTTTTTTTTTTTTTTTTTTTTTTAACTTTACTTCAGATTCAAGTATTGTTAATAAGGACACTAAAAATGTGTTACTGAGCACTGAGTTTCAAAAAATTTAATTCTAGAATAGGAGGAAAAAAATTGCAATTAAAATGGTGAGTGACAAAAGGAGACAAATGTAGCCAAAACCAAGATGAGAAACAACTTAAATGGACGCATTTAAATGAAAGAAGTGTGTCTGCATCAGGAGTTTTGAAAAAAGATAGGGGTGGCCTTCTTTGAAAGAGATACATTGTATCGTGATAGTCTTCTTTAAGTAGATAGACTTCTTTTACATAAACGCACCCAAATAAGAAAAAAAGAATTATAATACCAACACCAGATGCATAAAAACAAGAAAGAAAGTACAGTAAAAAAAATTATGTTGAATACATATCGTCATTTTCAGCTTTTCTCAGATGAAATGTCTTTTTCTGTAAAATTTATTTACCAGAAAACATGATATCTGTGTCAATTCAAACTCAGTAGTAGGGTAAGGCAATTCAGCCTAAATATTTCCAGAGAAACAGTTTTCAAAAGGAAACTGATCAAAACTATTTTACAACTGAGTGGCGCCTCTTCGTGATTTATTTTAAAGATACCTACTTCATCCCTTCAAGAGAGAAAAATCAAAGCAGCTTTGTATCCCTTCTCTGACAAAGATAAATATTGAATATTTTGTTCCAAAACTCGTTGAGCAGCTTAAAACTTTGAAACTTTATAGAACAAAAGAGTTTCCTTCTTTTTACACTTTAAAGTTTTTTGAGGGAAAATTTATCAAACGTTTTTAAGAGTCATTGCCACAAGGTTTAAAGACAGCTCTCTAAAGACTGAGGATGATTTTTGGGTACAGCAATATAGAGAAAAAGTTTTACCCTGAGTCAAGCGATTGCCAGAGCCAAGTTTCAGGGAAATTTCTCCTCACTCTAGGCGCTTCAGCGGTAGGTACTGCTTCAATTGATGAGCTCGATGATAGAGGGGCCAGGTCAAGATCTCCTTCCATGTTTGGAGCAGGCATGGCTGCTCTAAAGTAAACTACGGTTCCAATAAAATTGAATTGCATGCGTTAGTTTACTCATACATATTAGTGAGTCAAACAGGGAAGATAGAAAACATCAATGGTAAATATAAGAATACTACAAGATAAAACAAATTAACGATGCACAAAATGCTCGTGGTTCCTTCCCATTAAGACAAGTTTGACCAGTGTTGCTGCTGAGTATCAATAAACTCTGACAAGGAAAAAAGGATTCTATGCCCTTATCTCATCCTTCCGCCAAAGAAATTTCTCGTTATGCTCATAAAAATAACATGAGCGGCGATTTTGAACAGTGAAGCATGTTGATAGAATAATGCGTACGGCAGTGGCAATTTTTCAACACTTCCAATCAGTTTCATTTTCTTTCAGGGAAACTAATCAGAATGTTCCCTAGAAATTTTTCGTGATATTTATAGAATAAGTGAAGATTGTTCACAGAAAATTTCAACAGAAACTATTGCATGGTTTCCCTTCTAAAAAAATGAAACATAATAGAAACTTATGATATTGCAATCTCAGATATACATTTGTCTACTTCAACCATCAATGTTCTGTTTCTCCTCCTTTACGACTCCAATTTTCAGCGATTTTGTGCTATCATCTCTCTAAAAATAAATAAACTTACTCTACAACTCAAATATGCAGTTCTCTTAGTTTTGAAAAATACAAATAAATAGTAAAATGCTTCAGTCCCAATTCAAGTAATTTTCTCAACTTTTCATGTGTTCTGGCACCAAATTGTAACTGTAAATACATGCTTCAATAAAAAAAAATACCTCAACTAAGACTATACTCAGGGGAAAAAAAAGTGGTGAGTGAGACCATTGTAAGCAGTTGTGCATTACTCGACTGTGGTTTAGACGCTTAAACCTGTAAGAAACATATGGATGGTTAAAGTGTGCAACCGCGTATCTCCTTTTGCGCTATTGCAGACCAGCTGTCATGCTTTATTTTTCCTTCAGAGAACTAGTCAACTTAATTTCTTGAAAACTTCTTTGATCTATCTTTTCTCTTAGGAAAATATTCCAGGTATACAAATATCAAGGCGTCAAGTTGGTTTGTTTATCTGTGAAAAATAAAATAGAAGTGGAAATTTCGATACACTGCAGTGGCGATAGGTTGTTTTGCACTTTGGCCATCCACATTATTCCTGTTTCAATGAAGGGGAGGGTGATCCTAAAACTAAGAAAGCTTTTTCCAATCAGTTTGTAAAAGTCACAGTTGGTAAATATGTTTGTAATAGTTGGCAGTCTGTTTCAGTTTGTGAGATATGATTAAAATATTTTGAAGCGTGTTACTAATACATTCAGAAACAGAGCGATTAATCTGGTTAAACATGAAGTACCTTAGGCATAAAATATTTTAGGCATTGCATTTAATGAGGGTTAGGATTAAAATGTATGCTGTGAGAGTTTAACACAGAGACTGTGGGCACTTAAATAATTCAGGCGGTTTTCACCTTACTTAAAGCTGAGGAATTGTTACTATAAGATCAACAAATACGATGCATCACAGGAAAATCGGGGAGATTACCTAAAACTCAAATTAAAAATTCTGATACTTGGAGCACTCTGCGTATCTTAAGAATGGTGCTTGATATGAATACAAAATTTTTCTGCATTAAAATATTTCTCGAAACCATGTTAAGAATACAAACGATTCTATTTTTTTAAAATTCGCAATCTATTCCAGAACAAAATGAACCTTTTTTTCCCCCTGAACTTGCGGCCTTGAAGGAGATTTGAGCACCAGCTGTCAGTCGTGTGTTAAACGACTATAGACTTGACAAATGTTAGTTTGTAACAAATGCAAATGCTGACTCAATACAGTGACTGTTACTGAAGCAAGCATACATAACACAATTGATAAAGTTTTGGCATTCCATTTAAAATACTGTCAGCGCAATATGTAGGACTGTATCAGTGAAAATTTTCTACTTCATTTTTGACGCCAAATGCAACTGAATAATTTTCACAACTTGCTAAATCTCGGAATAGATTCAATTTCATTTTTAAGGGACTAAAATTTGACATATTTGAGACGTGAGGATCTAAGTGCAAGGCAATATTTCACAAAACATGTTTTTTTCATTCTTTCAATGGAAACTGCCTGGTACAATTCCTTGAAATTTTGAGGGACATTTTTCATAAGGTGATGTACACATGTAGGAATTTTTAAACAATAATGATGGCAATTCTGTAGCATTCTAGCATGATTTGTCCTCCTTAACTGACATTTATAAGCCACAAAGTTATAAGCATCTAACGCACGTGTTTTGATAACTATTTTGGTATGAAATGACTCTGGTCAATCTTTTACGAACAAATGAGTATTGAAAAAGTGCAAAATCAGAAAAAGAAAATAAATACTTACTCCAAGGAGATCTCTCATGGACATATCCGTTCGTAAGGATGATAGCACCAGATTTATCAAAAACTTCTTGTGCTGTGAAGGACCCAGGCCACCAGGCTAGGGATCGTTTACGCCTCGCAATGGGTGCGATATCCAAATGATTGTTGGAGCGGTCGTACGAACGCAGCTCGTTAAGGACATCATCCTTTTCAATATCGTTTCCGGATTTAAGCAAATGCACACTTTGATCAATACCAGTTATTCCGATGTAAGAGTTGGGTTTAGCTTCAAAATCAAGCTGGACAGATGCACCTGTCGAGCAAAAAAAAAAGTTTAGAATCTTCTTCAACACAACTTTTAAACATTCCTGTGAAGACATATTTAAATAAAAGAAACTACTGACTGTATCATCACTTTTTATTTTTGAAAGCCTGAGTTTTGCTCTCCTAAATACAGAAATGTCATTATTTCTTCATTTCTAAATTCCCTGAGATTTCCCTGACTATTTTTGCTTTTCCCTGACTCCAAAATTTTTTGATTCCCTGACTTCCTCTGTCCTTGGAACAAAATTACCACTCCCCCCCCCTTTTTCAAATACACTGACTTTTGCTAAACTATGCATATTGTTTCCTGGTTTGGAAATGAAATTAAGGAAAATGTATCATTATTGTTTGAAGTTAATATTATTACTCTGTACCTGCTGTTTTCTATTTACAATCTTAAAATTTTCTATCTGTGATTTTCTTGCATGTATAGCTCAAGCTCATACAAGACCGGCGCTGCAGGTTGTGGATGTTGTAATTTTTAAAATAGAATAAAATAAAACCTGGTTCTGTGTTCTCGGGCGAGATGGAAGCGTCGACAAAATTCTGGAATACACCGTCCAACTCGATATCCAAAACATCAGCTACAACCTCTCCATCTTCTCTCACATAGTGGACAATAATATGTGCGGATGGTGCCATTGCGTATGTAGCTAGGAAACGAATAGTGGCCTCTTTCCGTTCAGGAATGGTGATAGTGTTAGCCGTTATGATATCACCTCGCCCCAAGACTTGATAGCTCAGGTATTTCAGAGGCTCTGTTGCGTTGACCATGATTTCGATGTCTTGGTTGATGGCAGGGCTTTCATTTAACAAAGAGGCTTGAATGAATGTGTTGCTTGGTGAGATTGATGCACTTACAGTTGAGAACCTTCGGAAAAAAGGGAATGATGAAAGTCAAAGCAATCATATTAGGGAGAGAAAATTAGAAGAAGAGATTTTGGTTGAATATGTACTCAAACCTGCGCAGAAGCTTTGTCTTTTGAATACTACTTGACTGCAACTACAACATTACTTAACTTTTCAGGGATTGTTTTTTACAAAAGAGCAAAATTTAACGAAAAATCTGAAGGATTAATATTTTTACATCTTCCGTCAATGAGAGAAAATAGTTCACCAGTTTGTTTTGTTTTTTGTAGGAGTGATCATACACAGTGGCGTGGCGTGCTTTGCGATATATCGATTGTTATGCCATTTAAACCCATGGAAAAGGATCGATAGACAGGGTGTTCGCAGCAAACGCCTTAATAATCGATTCTTTACCACAGGTTTAAATGGCATAACAATCGATAAATCGCAATTCAAGCCACGCTACTGATCATACATAGGGAAAGGGACCTTGGTGCTAAAATATTGAACTTGAGTGCTGAGATTGAACAGAGAGACATTTTACCTCCTAAAATTTTGATTGAAAATTGTTATAAAATGTAAAGTTTAATGGCGAGTCTTCAAGGATTGAAAATTGCAAATTAAAGAAGGGGGGTGTTGAAAAAAATACTTTCAAGTATCTATATCTTCCACGTTTCAGGCTAAAAATTGTTGGGTTAAACTGTGACTTGTTGCCCGTATTTTCATCCAATTTTTTTATTTAATCCAATTCAAACTAAAGTGCTCTTCTGAGAAATATACCTCTGGATGGTGAGGTCCTATATTTTGTGTACAGCTACAAATAAATCAATAAAAAAATCTGAGCATTTCATACAACACTTAAGGATAGTTTCTTAATGTTTTATCTTGATTGAATATTTTTGATGAACTGCGGCCAATGATAATCGTTATAAATCAACAGTTTTACTAACTTCACCTTGTTCTTTCTGATTCTTCTTCCTTTGTGCTTTTATGCTACAATGATTGTTTTGGCCATGGCAGCATAAAAGTACAACGGAAGAAAAAATCAAGGAGTACAAGGTAAAGAAAAATTAAAAAAGTCACAACAATGATCCCTGATCAAACCAAATTCCACCATAGTCTTATAACAGTTATATGTTTGATGCATTCAATTTGAATGAAGTATAGGATCCTCTTCATTATTTAATGACGGAAAACTAATTTTAAAACTGGATGAGTTTTTTTGATTGAAACATTACACCAAAATCCGTTGAAAAAAAGGTAAAAGACGAAATAAAAATACGAACCACTCTTTCAGGTCCAAGTAATCAGCTTCAATGCCGAGGGAAGAAACATTTTGAGCAGGTGGATAGAACGTTAACTCAACAACCCCATTGCGATCAAGCTTGTGTTTGGACTCAGTATATTCGTCAGTGTTGTAGGAGAACCCGTGACGCACTTTCACCATGTTGTTATCATCGTTGACTGGTGACCCATCATGGTGTGCAACTTTGATGAAAGCACTATATTTAAGACCAGGTTTAAAGTACTCTGATGTTCGTACCAACTCCATCTTGTACTTGTGTTTGTGCATGAGTGTTTGAGCTGAGTTGTTTTGCCGCCTTCCGGTGAGAGCCTCTTCAACAGCAACATCAAATTGGACTGAACGCTCATAATCGTCAGTTAACCTACGGCAAAATAAGGTGATTTAAATGGTTTGAGATTATTAAATTCACTTAAAATTTCAAGATAAATTAAGAACCTGGGACTCATTCCCTGGTTTATGAAGTAAGACTTGAAGCTGCAAACTTTTTTTTAAAGTGTTGCTTCAGAGGAAGCCAGACTCAGAAAATTTCAGATTTTTGTTCGACAGCAGAACAATTAATTTGTGGGCTAGTCAATAGTCATAGCTTGTCTGTTAAAAAATAGAAAAAATGAAACAAATAATGAAATAGGTAAAGGAATGTAAGAGAAGGAATGCAGACTGAAAAATTTAAGGATCCTAATGGTCCACAAATAATTCTACACTTTTTTTTTTGTTATTCAGATTAAGGTACATTCAGAAACTCTGTACACTTGAAGTATTCAAGTGTAAATCATAGTATCAAATACACTTGAAAACGTTTTATGTCTACAATAAAAGAAAATATTAATAAGTAGTTGAAAAAGCACCTTAATTCTTTGACGATATCAAACTCAACAACAGCTTTGCCATCAATTGGGACAACCTTCCTGACTGGATTGCTAAAGATAGGTTGGATGACACCAGAGTAGATTGTAGGATAAGCAGTGATTGTAGCCTCGCCTTTGACTGGTTTCCCATACGTGTACCTGTTCATCAAGAAAATGTCGTTATCAGTTCTAGTTCTCTAAAAGTCATTCAAACAGTTTTACAACAAACAAATAGCTACCATTTTCTCCTTTGAAATAATTGAACCTACAAACATTTGACTTACACTGTTGAATATTTGAGTCTTTCAGCTTTTGCAAGGTAAGTTGCTTTCTTGTTTTTTACATCTTGATTAATCAATCACGTACTTGCATAGGTTTTAATACTGAATCAAACCAATTTTTCAGAGCAGTCTAAATAATTTTGAATAATAGGTGAGGAGAGACAGCAACTACAGATGATTTTTCCCCAGTGAAAATCCTTCTGGCAATAAGTTCCATTAATTTTTTAACAAGGAATATTTTAAAACTTTGGTAAAACAGCAACAGAACCTCTGTGATGCAAAATTACTCAATACCACACTGAACAAGATGACATTCAAACCAACTGATTTTGTAATTCAACAATACCTAGGGCTGTTTTTTTCCAATTTAAAAATCATCTTGGGTAAAAAAAGTTCATAAAACTAATGGCCACAGTTGACAATTTGGTTTGGATGGAATTCAATAATATCGATGGCCAAAGTGTGGAACCACATACCTCCATTATGGAGTTTCAAAATTTCTGATTCTATTTTACTTATATACTAAAAGAAACAAACCAACTTTGCAGGGGTGCAGAAAGTTCTTAACTTTCCCCAATTTGCAATTTGGCTTCCCCGAAATTTGATGTTTTGTTATAATTACACCACTACATAAAACATCGCCTCCACAGTTTCTTTCCCCAAAAGTGGCACGCTTAAAAGACTTCCAGGACATACAACAGCGGCCTTCAATGATTCCTTCCCCGAAAGCAGTATGCTTAAAAGTTTCCTTCCCCAAAAGCAGCGTACTTAAAAGTTTCCTTCCCCAAAAGCAGCAAAAAAAACCTTCCCCAATTTTCACAGCCTTCCCCATTCTCACGCAATCATGATCTTGTCATCGAGAACATTCTGCACCCCTGAAACTTTATAGCTTAAAATTTATACAAACTTGTCTGTTTATGTCAACAAACTGTTAAAACAAAGAAGAAAAATCGAGAAAATTTTCAAGAAATTACATTGACTGGGGTTTCAAAGAAAAATAAAGAATAACAGGAAGTACGTGACAAAGGAAACGGAGGCATGTGGTTTCACATTTTGCCCTTCGATATGTATTTGCCAACTTTTTTTATGAATCGGGAGGAGTTAATTGAGAAAGAAACTCTGGTTTCATTGAACAGTTACCGCTAGTGAGTCTCTTTAGTGGTATATTAATTGGCATACATAGCTGCTTATCAAATGGTGTAAAGTTCCTTACTTTGCATGGATCTTGGCGACAATGCGCGGGTCTTTGAAGGTGGCATGTTTGGGCACATCAATGTTGACCTCAAACTTTGGCAGGACATACTCAGCGACTTGAAAACTTTTGTGGAAAACTTGGTCGAGAACATTCACAGTTATGTTCCAATCACCGAGAACAGGCGAACTGGAGAGAGGGAGCTCGCTTGAGAAAACGCCTTTTGTTGTGAGCACCCGATTCCATTGTTTCACCCGATTGCCTTTGCCGTCCTGAAAGGATATAAAAGGAATTAGACCTCTAAAAATCTCAAGTTTAAAATGTAAAACCAAAACAATCTCTGGTAAAAATGACAACTACGCGACTGTTCCAGGTGCGTAGTTGCATGGTCACCTCCTATATTGTCTCGCTATTGGATAAAATTATTACCTACTGCTAAAACTTGGGTCTGGTCTCCTAGAGACAAGCGTCACTTCCTTAATTATGGATTTTTGATATGGAGCAGCTTCTGATGAAACCATGGCTTCAGCCACAAACATGCAGAAAATTATAAGAAATTGATTCCTATATCTGCTGGTGATGGTTGATGTGATTCAAAATGAGACAAAATCTGTTCTTGACGTAAAAACATGTTACTTACTCAGGTGCATCGAACATTGAGGGTAAAATGGAATTACTTCATTGTGATAAAATTGTAAGAAATCTGAGGAGAGTAACACCATAAGAGGTGACAATAGGTGGACAATAATTCGACAACAGCCGATACCTAACAATGAAAAAACAATACGAAATTAACTGACTAGGAGGGTGTATTTAAGGCTCCACTATCTTTTTCACCTTTGGTTAAGATATAAAAATAAAATAGGTGGATCCTCTGCTTCACTCAAAAAGTCAGTAAATTAATTTGGCAATAACTCCACCTTGATTAAGCTAGATTATGAACATATCGACGGCGTAAGTCCACAATCACATATATCGTTTGCGATATCTGAAAATCTCCGTCTCTAGGTTAATTTTTAAAAGAGAACAAATTGACATCGTTCCTAGGAGTTTTTGCATAATTTTCTTCGCGCAGAGAAGAAAAATCACAGCAGTTTTAATGAATTGCCGTCCAGTAGTTTCCCGTTTAAAAAATAAAGTATGACAGGAAGTCTGCGACGCCGCAAACCGAGTTACCTATGTGATTGCTAACTTACACCGTCGATATGCAGTCATTAATCATCGCTTCGAGGGACCTGCTCTAAACAGTTAGAAAAGGGCTTGCAAAGAAATATCTCCAAATCCACCGTGGTGCTGACAAGTCTTTGATGGGATTTCTCGTAGATATGTGCTGCACTTTTACAAGCATTCGAGCAAAGTTGAAAAGGGTGTGCCTACAGGCCAGAGGCAAGAATTCCTATTCTCGGAGAGAGAACTAACATGGTGAATATAAAGTATTTTGGTAGGTATCACTACTTATTGTGAGAGATGTTACTCGCTTACATAGGGAAGGACGAATATCAAATTTGATTATTCGAAACTTTTCGAATGCGATTATTTGAGAATTTGAATCTTTCGATTGCGGATACTTTGGAAGCAGATATTCGAATATTTTCGATAATTGCCTCAATTTCTAATTTTTTATGAACCATGAGAGATAAATGACACTTTTAAATAAGGTGGTATGTCATTCCCGTGTGGAGTTGTGGACTAGTTTTAATTAATTACGAGATTGACGATAGGGATGGACGGTTTTAGGATTCGAAAGCAATTATTCGAATATTCGAATTTGCGATTTCGAATACTTCGGAAGCAAATATTCGAATGTGATGCGATTATCTTGGTGCCGATAATATTCGACCATCCCTAGAGAGAGTTCATCGAAGAAGTACTGAAACTTTTATACTTTTCCAATCCACTCACCATCACACAGAGAGAAATTAATGCTGGATTAATTTGCATACTTACATCTGATGAACAGCTCAAAATTCAAAAAGTAAGCTTACAAAGGGCAAAATTAGCAAAAGCATGCAAAAGGCATAACCACGCTGTTTTGTTTATCAAAATAAAGCGAATGTAAACAAGTCTAAACTTCCACTCCCATTGGTTCCCGCCAATTCCTTGCCGCGCTCGGCGAAATATACAAATTGACGCGCCAACTTTCAAATAAGCGGGGAGTCCACTGGTTGTGCGCATAGTACAGGGTGGCCCAGACCTACCGTACCAGGCCTTTTTTTCGGTTAATTTGGGTCGCACGAAGTCCAGGATTGCGGAGATGGATAGAGAATCGACCCCAAGGAATCAGAATTTCATGGTCCCAGAGCCCCCCTGGCGCCCCTTGGGGGGTAAAAGGGGGGTCCGTACTTCAAAAGTCAGGGTTTATGTCAAAATTTTGAAATTATTTCATCGGAATCAGAACGTAGGAAAATGTTTAACTTAAATCGACACCAAGAAATCCAAAATCGGTCCACCCGTGTCCAAAATACCGACTCCTAAAGGCGGGGGACAGAGCCCCCTTTCAAAAAAAATTCAAGTTTGTCAAATTGACGTGAAGACTCGGAAAAAATGGGTAATCATGGGTAATTGACCCCAAGGAATCCGAATTTGAGGGTTCCGTTGTCCTCAGAGACTTTTCTGATGGGGCACAGGGGGACTCTGAACTTTTAAATTTAACCGGTTTGGAGGTTACCCCTTTGCCCCATCAGAAAAGTCTCTGAGGACAACGGGACCCTCAAATTCGGATTCCTTGGGGTCGATTACCCATGAATACCCATTTTTCCGAGTCTCCACGTCAATTTAACGAACTTGAATTTTTTTGAAAGGGGGCTCTATCCCCCGCCTTTAGGGGTCGGTATTTTGGACACGGATGGACCGATTTTGGATTTCTTGATGTCGATTTAAGTTAAAAATTTTCGTACGTTCTGATTCCGATGAAATAATTTCAAAATTTTGACATAAACCCTGACTTTTGAAGTACGGACCCCCCTTTTACCCCCCAGGGGACGCCAGGGGGGCTCTGGGACCATGAAATTCGGATTCCTTGGGGTCGATTCTCTATCCATCCCCGCGATCTTGGACTTCGTGCGACCCAAATTAACCGAAAAAAAGGCCTGGTACGGTAGGTCTGGGCCACCCTGATAATTTGTATACAGTATACAACTACTTAGATTTTCGGGGGGCAATAGTCATCCTTTAGTTGGATTACAAACGAATCGAAACACTAGATGCTTTGAGGTGGCGCATGACCCATAAAATAATAAATAGGACTTACTCATATGTGTTAAAGATAACTTGAATATACATTACACAGGGTGTTTCAGACCGCCCGCACCAGGCTTCTTATACTTGGTTCTTTTAGGTCCTGCGAAGTTAGGGACCGCGGGGCTAAAGAGGGGATTGCCCCCAAGGAATTCAAAATTCCATGGTCCCGAAGCCCCCAGGCCCTTCTTGTATGGAAAACCGGGGGGGGGCTCAATTTTTCGACCTAAGGAGGGCCATTTTGGAATTTTGGGCGTCAATATACAGTGAACTTTTCCGTAATTTTCAAGTCTGATGCAATTACATTGCAATTCGGTTGGGACTTGGGAACCCTGCTTTTTGGGATCTTGCCCCCCCCTTACCATTCAAGGGGGGCTGGGAGAATTTTGGGACTATGAAATTCGGATTCCTTGGGGATCAGTTCGCTTTTCAACCTCGCAGTCCCTGTCTTAATACGAATTATGACAACCGAGAAAATTTCCTGGTGCGGGTGGTATGCAAGAACCTGTATAAGTTTTGGTCGATAAATCGTCGCCAAAATCTAATAAAAAGAGATGATTTTCTCCAAAATATTGGGAAGGGGGGGGGTGTTAATTCGACTTGGGTACTTTTCGAAAAAAAATTCATATGGAAAAAATCTTACTTTGACGGAGTAACATGCTTTTGCAGTCCGGGACATCATTTACATAAAATGTAAATGCGATTTTACATAGCCTGCGGATACTTAAAAAAAAAGAAATAGAATTTTTGACTAAGGCTTGTGAGATAATATATCGTCACCGCTCTGACACAGGAACTTAAATACTTTTTGGGATGAGCCCCATCGTTCGTAGGCCCCCATGCTCTCGACGGCTCACGTTGAAATGGATATTGGAGATGCGCCGTTGCGGTGGAGGAACGAACCCCGCGCAAGTCTCGCTACTGTTTTCCCTCCATTCAACTACATCATAAATAATCGATTTTCAGCGAGGCAACCTATCACACTGCGAACCGACGGATTTCGATCATTTAACGCAGACTTGAATTAGCATGGCCAAGTGTTGCCAAATTTGAAGAATCGCCGCGGCGTGAAGGAAAGCGACGATACAAATATCGTCGGTTTTCATACGAAAAAATCGTAACTACATTTCAATGTTGCCGAATTTCCCCTCGCAAATTTCATTATCACCGGGAGGATTTTGGGAATACGTAACTGGAAATTTCACTGATTTTTCTTTTGATCTCATGCAAAAATCAGACAATTTTTTTTACGAATATTGCACTGTTACATCCTAGGAAAACATTGAATTGTTTGCGTCAATTTTTCAACCTTGGAATAGAGTTACGTTCTTCCATCCGGGAAAAGACGATGTGTTGTCGCCTTCCAGCCGAAGTATCACAAGCGCCATGCGACGTTTAAAAATTTCTGCCGCCATTTTATTTTTTAACAGAGAAATTGTCGGTTGAATCAGTTTGAAAATTTCACGGAACTTTCTTAGTACTGCCGAAAAAATTTAGAGAAATTTTCAGACAGCTTCGTAGACAAAAAATGGCGACGGAAATGTTTAAAGATGGCATGGCGCTTGTGATAGTTTGGCCGGAAGGTGAGAATTTGAGGGACTTGGACCTACCGTGATGAAAATATCGAGGGCTCCGGTGACAACGGGCTTGAGATGGGAGTTGAGGACGATGACGCGGAACTGGACTTTGTGTCCGGGCTTGTAGATGGCTTTGTCCGTCTGAATGAAGACCGAGTAGCTTTTGTGCACGTACTCCAGTTCGGTCGTGTTCTCGAAGCTCAGCCCACCAGAACCTTGCACCGTTAGATTGTACAGCCCCGGGCCCACGTCTCCGATCTGAAACAAAGCCCAAAATCCAGATTCATTTCAAAATCCATGCCACAAGTCCAAAACCACGTAGATGATGCATCTTCATTGCAAATTTTCAAAATTTCTCTTCAAATTTTCTTCCTTCTGAGAAAAACAACCTAACTATATAGCTTGAAATTGAAACAGAATGTTCTGCTTGTCGAGAAAAAAGTCAAGGAGTTTTCAAGAAATTACGTTGATTAGTTTTTCAAATAAAAAATAATTCTGACAGTAAGTCTGCAACGTCGCAAACGGAGATACGTGATTTTGCACGTGGGCCATCCAAATTCACTTCTCTAGACGGAGGTGACGTTTTCAAGCGAAACAACTACAAGCAGCGGAATGGAGAATTTGCATGTAATTTTTTTATAACTTCATCTGAAGTGCTTAAAGAGCTGATTTCACAGTATTTTTTAAAAAAATTCTCTGATTTGGGGAATAGTAAAAAAATATTTATATAAGTGAGAAAATGCACCGCCTAGTGACGTCATCTGGCGGCATTTCCCATTCAAACACATGTATTTTAGCGGATTAGAGCATTTTGTCATATCTTCTCCAATAATTGTTCAATCCATGAACCAAGTATGTGCTTGTGTTCAGTTCACTCAGTAGTTTCCACCTAAACACGAAATTCATCAAATTTCAGACACCTGCAAATTCAATATTGGCATATCGATTGCGAAAAGCAAATCAACGTATCTCCATTGGCGTGTTTCAAAATTACCGCAACAATTTTACTTTTTCGAAAGGGATTTAGCCAACTAAGTGGCTTGACATTTATGCGGAATATTCTGCCAACAGAGGAGAGAAATCAATGAAAATTTAAAAAATGAGGTTGAGCAGTTCTCTAAAGAAAAAATGAAGTATGGCAAGAAGTTTGCAGTTTGACAAACGGAGATACGTGATTTTACTCTTCGGCCATCGATACGGACGAGAGTATGGAGAGTACGCACATCAATTTTTCGCCCTTAATAGTCGATGTCGATGTATGCCAGAAAATATCCTTCGTGCAGTACTACAAATAATTATCTGTTCGAAAATTGGACGTATTTCTGCCAAATGGAACTATGTGAATTAAGATATGAGCCCTGAGGCCCATAAGAATATATGCATAACAGGACTCACATCATGATGCGCATAGTTTCATTTGACAGAAATACGTCCAATTTGTGTTGTTTCTTATTTTTTAGTGTTAATTTCCAATCTGCCGATTTTGATGCTGACTTTTTTTTCGATTGAAGTCTCAATGGTCGACGATGATGAATGAATAGGAAATAATATATTAACAGTTATCTTTGAAAATTTCTTGTGAAAGTAATGCTTCCCCAGCGTATAAGAAGAACGCCATTGTTGAGACGGAATCTAGTTGCGAGTATAGCAGTATCTAAGGAACAAATATTGCAAAAAATTGTGGTTTCAGCGTCACAATTTTGGCGTCATTTCAGCTAAAAATATAAGTTCCTAGGATCCGTTCTTCATTCAATGTCTTCTGTCTCAAACAGGACGTGTGATGAGGCTTAAATCTTAATTTTTCCAAGTAGCCCAACCAATCAGATCTTTGTAACTTCTGATCTCGTCTCAAGCACCATGAGATAATTTTTCAACAAATATACCAGACGAGAACCGTTTCGAGGTACATCGAAGGAACGGATTTTCCATACGGTTTTCCCGAAGACGTGAGACGTGAGCAGCGATCGACAGGTTTCGAGTGACCTTTTACAATATGGATCGCATGTAGCAAACAGGAACCAGCGCAATATTACAGAGTTTCCACAACTTTCTTAAAAAAATACTCATTTTATGCACAGTATTAAAATTTACACAGTCGGGCTCCTTGAAAATCATCATTTTTTTGGTTGGATGCCAAAACTATTCGATACTCTCGGAGATTTTTTAGATAATTATGAAGAAGAATACTCGTGCTCTATGGTAGTGAAGTGTGGCCTTTGACGAAAAGAACGCAAGAAATGTTGAGGGCAACTGAAATGGATTTTTGGCGGCGATCTGCCGGCATTTCGAGACGGGACCGTGTCCGTAATGAGAGAATTCGCCAGGTGATGAAGGTTGAGAAAGATATCGTGCACGACGTCATGTCCAGGCAGTTATGCTGGTATGGACATGTGCAAAGAATGTCGGAGGAGAGGTTGCCCAAACAATTTTTGGATTGGGTACCACCTGGGAAGAGGCGACGGGGACGTCCCGTAAAGGGATGGCGGCAGGGCGTTGACGAAGAGATGTTGCGGTGTCAGTTGCCCGATAACCTCTGGGAAGACAGGCATATGTGGCGTTTGGGTGTCGTAGAACGCCAGAGTGCGTTGTAAAGCGACTTTATATATATATGAAGAAGCGACATTTTTACAACACTGTGATCGCGCTGGTTCCTTTTTGATAAAATGTGATCCATATCTTGGTAGAATATTGAATATGCGGGAATAATTAGAGGAGTTGCTCTCACCTCTAATTTGACGATCTGGGAAGCGTAGGGCGCGAGGGTGACGTACTCGGAGGTGCGGAAAGTGCCGCCGCTGTCCTGCTTCCCGCCAACTTGGACGATGACAGACGTCGGTTGAGAGGCGTCCTCCACAGATACCGCCACATGGTATTCCGTGTTCGGCCGAAGAACTTTCGGCGCGATCACCGAGTAGAACCTGCAACAAACGGACACAACCATCAACAACTTTAACTCTTTCAAATGTTTTAATCTCTGTCATAATGGACCAGCATAGGACCTACATACTGCCGTGCGAAGGAAAAACGCCGTATGAGCCTTCAGACGTTGTCAAATTTTCTTCCAGAAATTATGAATTTTCGAGAAAATTTATGAATAATTTTCTTCCAATTTTTTCAGAAAATTTTGCTCATAATTTGGTCTGAAGTGTCTGAAAATTTTTATGATAAATATACGTAACTTTTCAACAAAATTAATGTATTCAGAGAGGAAATTTGGCAACTCTCGAATGTTCATACGGCGTTTTTCCTTAGCCTGGCAGCATAGGATCCACGCACTACATACATAACATGGGCATAGTGAAATCTCCCGGTGACGCGTATTTAGTTGTTTTTTCTACTCTTGCGTTAAACACTCTGGGTCACCAGCGGGAAGTTCAAATTTTCCGCGACTATGGCTGAAGAGAAAAGTTAATATTGAACATTCAAAGTTGTACATTTGCGAAACTTCACTCCTTTGTGTATGATCGAAAACCTGATGTGAGTTTACAAATGAGCTTGGTAAAGGACAAATCACTATCATCTAGCCCCTGAGTGGGCCTCCGCTCTCGGGGCCCCTTCAATAAGTGAAGATGCAACTTTTACGACGTAGGGAGAATGTTTTTGCCTAATCATTCAATTGAAGGCGAAAAATTCTGTGCACCATAGAGCACGATATCAGGTGCGCGAAAGTGCTCATTTTAGTCATTTTAATGTGTAAAATCAAGAGCAACGCGCGTCATCTGCGGAATTGCTCTCTTCGTGAGAGTAAACACCGTAAACGAGTGACTTGCGTAATTGGTAATCGTGCGAGGTTTCACCTCTAAAACCAATGACGCTATTTTAACCTAACAGTCGTTTCATGTGTCTCACCTATATTAAAAATGGCCTACATTTTACGTTTGTGAGCTTCGTGGGGCAAACCTATCAAGATGTCTTCATTTTCAGGGATTAAAATTTGTCCACGGAGTCTAGAATTCTGCATTTCTCTCATTCGCTGATTTCCTTTGCTCTCCTGTGGAAAAATTCCAATGAGAACTTCGTATTTACTTACCCACTCTATAAAAATTCTCTGAGAGACCAATAAATTTTCCTCGAGATTTCCGAGGGAAAGCAATACGTAAAAAAATCCGGTACTTTTTAAAACCAGGTTCGACGAAAATCGTCATGTACGTTTTTTTTCCATATGGGTACAAACTGAGTGTGTCGGAATGGTAGCTTAGGGAACAAAACGACGAACTCAAATTGCAAAATGGCGATACATGTTGTGGACAAGCAAGGACAAGTCAATGATAAAAAGTAATTGAATGAGCGAACGCAGCAACACAAGAAAAACGCGGGCAACAAGGCCCATAAAATTTTGAGGCATCAGCGCAGCGTGACCAGCAAATTTCTCTCGTGCGGAAAAAAACACATTTATGATTTAAATAATTGCTGTCGTGGAAACCGAGTTTACTGCAGTAGAGAACAAACACGTTGGCGAGTTGGTGCTTCAGCCAAGTGCTTGTTTGGCATTATAATTGCATCGTTGCTCCTGGGCATATCTCGATTTTCGCATGAGCCAT